CCCCCGTTCCTGGTCTGTGGAAAAACTGTCTTCCACAAAACCTGTCCCTAGTGCCAGAGAGGTTGGAGATAGCTGGCTTTGAGATAGCTTCCTAATGAGAGGTCCTTGGTGCTCTCTGAGCTAGTTTTCTTGCAGACGTTTCATTACCCAAACTAGGTAACATCATCAGGGCTAGTAAGGAGTGCTGTTTGCTGTCAGTTTATATTCTGGCGACTTGCTTTGTCTGTGTGGGTGAGGGTATTCTTAAGAGTTTCTTTGGTTGGGCTGTTTATGATGGCTCTTTGGCAGTTTCTTGATTGGGGTATTGTTTACTTGATTCTTTTCTTTTATGTACACTGAGAGCATATGCACCAAGGCAAATTCCTTGTATGTCCTATCACACTTGGCCAATAAAAAATTCTGTTCTGTTCTGTATTCTGTATTCTCTTCTCTATTCTATTTTATTCTAAATTCCTAATTCCTTCCTAATTCCCTATTCCTATTCCATTCTTGGTTTGAAGCTTCCTAAATAACCAGAAATGTCAATATTTTGAATCAAGTAAATAATCCACTTTTAAGAGAAACCATCAATAGCACAATCGATTACTCTGATTAGCTACACTTACAGATCAAATTTCTCCCCAGCAGGAAACAGGCAATTCTAGATGCATTATTTATAATGATCAATCGCCCTTTCATCCTTTTGAACCCATATCGTTTGACAATTATAACAAAATAATAAAATGCAATCGTATGCGCTGCAAGGGGGTTAAAATCATATATAAACTCTATTTACCTCGGTTGAAAACCTAGCAGAACCAAGCAAGTGAACCCTCGTCCTTTCCATCTTCATCTTCTGCACTGGCAGAATGATCGCCCAGAGGGATGAAGGGCACTCGGGGCAGCTTTTAGCTATTCATTATATTATATGTGATTAGTGCAGCATTAATTGACTATCATATTGAAAAATTAGTGTTACTGATTAGTTATTGACATTAATTTGTTTACTGATTAATTACTTGCTAGATATTGATTTATTATTGATATTGACTAATTAATTTTGTCAAACATTGACTGTTCATTGACCATGCCAGGCAAAAACTCCAAAAAATAAAATTATATTTGGCTCCAGAACGAAGTTTAAGCGATGAAAACGCCTCTGAGCAACTCACGTTCATGTTGGGCACAAATCCTTTCTTGATGCGCCAGCAGTTCTTATCCAGTTTATCCAAATATTGCAATTCATCGTTGTAGTTTCGGCTCATGGCGAAAAGTAAGCAAACGCTCCGAAATCACTATAATAGAAGAACGGTTTCTTCCCCCCCCTCAGGTGCTTTCTGGCAAAGGCCGGCCACGTTCACGTTACGCCAGTACGGAGGCCGAGATGGCTCCGCCCCAATTCTCTGCCGGGCCGAGAAGAAATCGTACGGCGGCCGAAAAGGCTCAATTTAGGACAGGGGTGGGCAATTGTGGCTCTTTTACAACTTGGCTGTCTCAGGAATTCTGGGAGTTGAAGTCCACAGGTTGTAAAAGAACCACAATTGCCCACCCCTGATTTAGGATAACTGGAGCAACGCTGCAAAAACTGGGGCGACCGCTGGACGGAAATAAAGGGGTGCCTGAAGCTGCTGCGTCTTTGCTTCCGTGTTTTGCTTCTGTAGTTTTGAAACAGGAGTCAAATAGCTCCTTTTGTTTGTCTATGTCTGTCTGTCTGTCTGTCTGTCTATCTCTCTCTCTCTGCCGTTAGAAACAGCTAAAAGTTGGTGTTTTTGCGTGCTATTTTATATCAGATGAAACAAATGCGGACACGCTCAGGAGAGTGAAATGGGAAAAATGTGGGAATACGTTTTGAATAAGGAGAAACAGCCAAACCACGACTCTAGGCGTACTTTTCACTTAGAGGTGGCTATCTATAGATACATTAGTTGCTGGAGAATGACATTTAACTCTTAAGATTTCATGGGATATGTAAACATGATAAAAGAATAGAAAAGGTTTACAGACCCCTCGCATCCTGGACATAAACTGTTTCAACTCCTACCCTCAAAACGACGCTATAGAGTACTGCACACCAAGACAACTAGACACAAGAACAGTTTTTTTCCCCCAAACACCATCACTCTGCTAAACAAATAATTCCCTCAACACTGTCAAACTAGTTACTAAGTCTGCATTACTATTAATCTTCTCATTGTTCCTATCACCCATCTCCTCCCACTTATGACTGTGTGACTGTAACCTTGTTGCTTGTATCCTTACGATTTATATTGTTTCCCTATGACTATCATTAAGTGTTATATCTTATGATTCTTGATGAATGTATATTTTCTTTTATGTATGCACCAAGACAAATTCCTTGTGTGTCCAATCACACTTGGCCAATAGAAAATATAGAAGTTTATTGGCCAAGTCTGATTGGACACACAAGAAATTTGTCTTGGTGCATACGCTCTTAGTGTACATAAAAGAAAAGATACATTCGTCAAGAATCAAATGATAGTCATAGGGAAACAGTCAATATAAATCGTAATGATACAAGCAAAAAAGTTACAGTCATACAGTCATTAGTGGAAGGAGATGGGTGATAAAAAAGATACTGTAAATCAGTAATTATTATAATACACTTTTTAGTCTTTAAGGTGCCACGATGCCATATGTTTTTGCTGCAATAGAGATACTACAAACAAAATGAATATTTTTAATAAGGGATGAATTTCAGCCACCAAAATATTTGCTGCATTTGTGGCAATTAAATCTGTATCAATATAATCAGTGCTTCAGAATCAAGGTTTTTTTGATTGATGCTCATATATCCAGCAGTGAAAACTATTTTAGAAGATGAGGCCTGCGTGTATTCTGATACCCCGTGGACTGCATCTCTTACCATTCCCAAATTTTGGTGTGAATGTGAATGAAAACATGAGATACCCTCATTAGTTCTTTGATATTTTAAAATTAAAGAGCTGCTCGGGTCTCCAACACAAATCACCCTTTCATGATCGTTGGCCTTGATTTTTGGATTTTTTTTTTAAAAAAAGGAACGTCTGCTTTCCCTTAAGGTAAAGTGTCCATTTTCATGCCATAATTCAAGAAAAAACAAGAAACTAAGCAGTTCTATTGAATCACATAATTAGTGTGTCAATTCCAAGGCAAATTTTGAAGATGTGCAATAGAATCTTTGCTGTTGTTATGCTGTTCTGGTCCACATCTGGTCCATGACTGTCCATCTTACTCTTCTTATGTTGTTGTGAATCCAGATGAAGGAAGGCAGGATAGTGGTGTTGAGTTGAAACTGCAGCTCCCAAATTTAAAACCAGAATTATCTGCTCATTTTGTGAATATCATTGCAAAAGGCTACATATAAGACATGACCAACTCAATTTTATGATGTTTTATGATGATTATTAAAGAACATTGCTGCCTTTAAGCAGTCATTAAGCAAACCATTGTTCACTATGACACAGTTTTGCTGAAAACTGGAGTGCTAATTCTACTGTCATAAAAATTCAGTCATGTGACCACAATTTATTATTCTAGTAAATAGAACTTTGAAAAATGCTTGCTTCAGAGTTTTTACTTAGAGTTGGGGTTTTTTTTCTGGAACGCTGACATACACTGCAAATGGATATAAAAGTGACTTGTGTTGCCAAGTTCCCAAATTGTGGCCACATGAGTTGAGAAGGTGACTGTCAGAAATTCAGATCTGGATTGTAACTTTGAATGGTTGCTAAGTAACCATTGTAAGTCAAGGACTACCTGTAAATAAATTTATAAAAAATAAATAGCAAATTTCATTTTATATTGAAAATAAAATGAAAATTGCAATATATAATGAAATTTGCTACAATTTTCATTATATGTTGCTATATCCCAAATAGACAGTGCAGACAACTGAAGCCACTTAATCTAGGTTTGAAGTGGACCGTTTTTGTCCCATAATCCACAGCCATCTTGATTGCATTCCCTTGGAATTATGAGAATCATATCCAGTGGATCTAGAGCAGGGGTGAAATCCAGCAGGTTCTGACAGGGTCTGGAGAACCGGTAGCAGAAATTTTGAGCAGTTTGGAGAACCGGCAGTAGAAATTTTGAGTAGTTCGGAGAACCGGCAAATACCACCTCTGGCTGGCCCCAGAGTGGGGTGGGAATGGAGATTTTGCAATATCCTTTCTCCAGGAGTGAGAGGGAATGGGGATTTTGCAGTATCCTTACCTTGGAATGGGGTGGGAATGGAGATTTTGCAGTATCCTTCTCTTGCCATGCCCAACAAGCCACGCCTACCAAGCCACACCACAACACGCCCACCAAGCCACACCCACAGAGCCAGTAGTAAAAAAATTTGGATTTCACCACTGATCTAGAGGATTCCAGTGTAGATCCTATTATAGAATCCATGTTTTTGAACCAGGTCTAATGTTATATATAAAGGTTGTCAAAGCTCCAAATGGGTTTTAATAACTTTTTAAAAAGATATTTTTATCCTGCCTATGTTATTTTTATATATGACTCAAGGCAGTACACACACCTAATAGTTTTTCTTCTCTTTTCCCCACAACAACCACCCTTTGTGTTGGGCTGAGAATGTGACCGGCACAAAGTTATTCAGCTGGCTTTCATGCCTAAGGCGGGGCTAGAACTCAGTCTTCCTGTTTCTAGGCTGAAAAAAAACCAGATTTGAGGTTTGCCATAGCTTGTAGATTTGGGAAAGAAAGAAAGAAAGGGAAGAAGGGAAGGAAGGAAGGAAGAAAAGGAAGGAAGGAAGGAAGAAGGAAGGGAAAGAAAGAAAGAAAGAAAGAGAGAGAGAGAGAGAGAGAGAGAGAAGAGAGAAAGAAAGAAAGAAAGAAAGAAAGAAAGAAAGAAAGAAAGAAAGAAAGAAAGAAAGAAAGAAAGAAAGAAAGAAAGAAAGTTGTATATCTCTTTGCTGACACCCCAATTTTTACAGCCAGGTCTGGTAGTTGTAGCGTTACCATTATCAAACATTTCTCTTACACAGAAATTAGATTCACTCATCGTACTAAATTATATTGTGGTTTCTTTTTAATCTAGTGTGTTGTAACCATATTAAAAAACGTTGGCTAGTTTGAAACCAGTTAACAAATTCAATAAAATATTACATAAGCTTACATGATTTTCTCCACTGCAGGAAGGAAGGAACATAAATAAATAATGGTATTTCTAATACAAAGTTTCTAACAGCTTTGCAAAACTCTCAAATTCTTCAACTTTCTTAATTAAATTGTCGTTTCAGATAATATACTAGAATTAGAAATCTTTTGGCCATATAAAACAGGGATAGGCAATACATAGGAGTAGGACTGGGGACTACAACTCTGCTTCTTAATTTTCTTGAAGGCCACAAGAGGCTATCAGGTGATACTGTAATGTCTCTGAAAGGCATAGGGAGGGGAATTTCGAGTGTGTGTGTGTGTTAAAGTAGACTTAGAAGCAGGAGACTACTATCTGTGCACTTAATACCACTCCATCTCCTGGCTAAAATCACAATGGTGAAATCTATTGATTTTGTCTTCAAAATTGAGCAGCTCCATTTTGGTGCACTGGGGAAATTCATTACCCATTCCCGATATTTAGTTGTGAGAGTGTTGGATCAATATTTTCACCTTCAGTTTGTTGCTATCTTAAACCAATATACTATGCATTTTTGAACTTCTGGTTGAACTATTAAAAATTTCATCCACCAATTTGCTCACTCACAAATGCATATTGGCTCTTATGCACTTTATGCATCTAGTAAAAAAAAAAAGTCAACATTTGCTTGGAGATAAAGATTTCCTCGTTATCGTAGGCTTTGAATATCAGTGGAAATCAGCAAGAAACCCTAAGAAGATAAACAAAATATATTTTATTGCAGGTTTATAACAGCTTGATTATTAGAAATCTCACTTCTCACTGTTTTGTGAACTGAATTCTAGAAATAAGTAGCTTATGATTGACAAAAAGAAATAAAAACTGTCATGTCATTGGTATTACGGAGTCACTGTGGGTGAGTTGGGCAGTTGTAAACATTTAATAAATAAATAATATAAATATTTTAGTTACAGAAGTTACAGAAGTACAAATATTTGTGGATAGGTGTTATATGTATGTTTGGTCATAAAGAGGGTGAATAGGACATACTGAAAACTCATTTATTTATTCATATCTCAAATTTGGAGACCACCTATCTCTTTCATGGAGCAAATTCCATGAAACAGCAATTCACTGTATTGGAAGCACATGACAACTTTCTGACAAATATCATCTAATCTAAATATATCATCCTAATCATCTTTTATTTTTCACTCAAGGGATATAAGATAAGAATAGTCATTACCAAATCTTACCTCATAAATTCTAATACTGGGCTTCATAAGAATCATTGGGTCCAAGGCAGGTAGAGGAAACCCATCCTTTAGTTTAACTTAATAAAACATAGAAAAAGAGAGAAAGGAAAAGATTAAAATAGTTATGACTAGAATAGGTTTTGCGATTGCATACATTCCTTAATCTAAAAGCTGAATATGTTGTATATTATTGCTCAAATACAAACATTTTAGCATTTGTTTTATTTTTTATTCTTCAGAAAGTAGTTTATAATTTCTTCAAGAAGTGTAATATTATATTTTAAAGACAGAAAAAGGAGGCATTGAGATGCACAATTTTTTTTGCAGTTGTTATGCTTTGTTTGGATTTCACTGACTTCAGTTGTGAATACAGCATGGACAATTGTAGTGATAGGTAGTATAGTACTGATCACATGAATGGATATAAATCTGAGTTACTGTTGTGCAGGGATAAAAAATCTAAGCTATACAACTCATACATTTTAACTACCAGTCTTAGAAGTTCTTGATTACCCTCTCCACTCTAGTGTTGGATACTTTATTTATGGCCATGCTGGCTAGACTTTACAGGATTATTTATCAGTCTTTAGCCCATTAGAAGCTGGCTTAAAAACAAGTCATTAAAGACAGAGAAATTGAGAGAAAGAAAGAGGAAGCTACACTTACAATTGGCTGCTGGAATTATTCCAGTTCGTAAAATGTAAGACAAGAAATTATCCAGAAGTGAAGCCTGCAATGTAAAACAAAGGTTGACTTTTCCTTAGTAAGAGAACTGGGATGACAGTGTTTAAACAGGATTATTTTTATCAGTATTATCAATGGATGATATTCTAGCAGAAAAGTGACCTGATGCTATATACAGAAGGCAACTTTCTACGTTTGCTAATAATTTCTAATTTAGACTGCAAATTATTTGCTTGCCATTTTTGCAGCCCTTCTCTAAATCCTATACAATGTTATATTTGCACATTATTTTATTTGCATAATTTTATTTAATAAAATTTCTCATAAACTACTATTTGTTGCAATCATTTACCCAGTACTGAAAAAAATTATTTTGAAAATGAAGTATTAACCTCTTATGGAAGAAAATTCAAATTCCCAGGCTGAAGCATGCTGCTGAATCTCAAGAATTGTATAAAATGTCTCTGTGTGTATCTGTCTTTGTGTGTTTGTGTCTCTGTGTGTATGTCAGAAGGACCCTAAAGGTGGAGGATGCTAGAAACAGTTCAGTGAAGAGTGAATATACTCAATAATAATAATACCACAACACTACTTACCTGTAGAAAGATAGAAAATGGAAAACTGTGAAGAGGTACTAAATGCAGAATCTAAGAATGGTAACTGAGTGGTAGAATTCCCCTCAGTCCTTCATCTCACAAATTCCTTTTTCATTTTTTAGATATAAAACACTATAAAGTGAAATAGTTCTCAAGAAAATAATAAGGGAAGGGGCAATCGTCCTGAAATATTATTGGAAAGAAAGTTAAAATTAAAGGAAAAGAAAAAAATAATGGGATCAATAATTAGGACAGCATATTTTATAGAATTTAATAGTTCTCATGAAGAAAATTTAAAAGGTAAAGTAATATACTTTGTAAGCAATTCAGTTCTATCTGCTATAAGTTGCACCTGCTTATTTTTCCTAGAGGCTGACATTTACCTCAAAGAGGCCAACATTGGAATGAGCCAAGGAGCTGTGGAAACTGCAAGAAAGAAAGCATAATGCAGAGATTATTGTACATGACCAAGATAATAATGTCGGTGTGGCATTGCTGATGGGTTATTGGTCTTGAATCAGAAAGATTGGGGTTCAGATTTCTCTCAATGATCTTAATCATTCACACTGGGGCAATCCACACTTCCTGTTTGCTCAGGTGTGAGGGCAACTCACCCATTGTTTCAAGAGAGCGGGCAGAGGTGATATCATTCCTAGCCCACCTCTCCTCCCTCCCTCCCTTCCTCCCCATTAGTAACCTGTTGAAATTCTGGACTTTTAAAATAGATTCAGCAGAGGGAGGATGGCATCTTGTCCCTTCTGTTTTTTTTCAAACAGGGAGGTTCTTACTCCCATGTTTTCGCTGGCTAAAATTGACAAAAGTTTTGTCAAGTTTCCCCTCTGAGCCCCCTGAACTGCTTTTTAAGGGTTTGCAGTGGGATAGTGAAATGTGGGAGATCTTTCTTTCTTTCTTTCTTTCTTTCTTTCTTTCTTTCTTTCTTTCTTTCTTTCTTTCTTTCTTTCTTTCTTTCTTTCTTTCCTTCCTTCCTTCCTTCCTTCCTTCCTTCCTTCCTTCCTTTCTTTCTTTCGTTTGTCAAACATGTATGAGATAACAGGAATAAGTATAAATATGGATATGAATACAGGAAATGGGGACAAATAAATGGGCACAGTAGGACAGGATAGAAGGCACGCTGGTGCGCTTATGCATGCCCCTTACAGACCTCTTAGGAATGGGGTGAGGTCAACAGTAAACAGTCTAAGGTTAAAGTTATGGGGGTTTGGCGATATAATCAAAGAGTCAGGTAATGCATTCCAGACGTTGACCACTCTGTTGCTGAAGTTGTATTTTCTGCAATTGAGTTTGGAGTGGTTTACCTTAAGTTTGTATCTATTGTGTGCTCGTGTATTATTGTGGTTGAAGCTGAAGTAGTCATTAACAGGTAGTACATTGTAGCAGATAATTTTGTGTACTATGCTTAGGTCGGAGCATTGGCGGTGTAGTTCTAAGTTGTCCAAGCCCAAAATTTCAAGCCTGGTGGCATAAGGTATTCTGTTGTGAGTCTATCTTTATTTGTTTTTTGTTTATTTGTTTATTTGTTTATTTATTTATTTATTTATTTATATATTTAAAATAAATATTTATTTTTTAAAGTAAATATATTTACTTATTTATGTCTATCTTAAAGACATATCTTTAAGATATGGGTATCAGGGTATAATTGAAGAAAGTTCAGCCTTGTACAGGATGCAAACCATAAGTTCATTTTTTATATACAGTAAAATTTTACCAGTAATTGTATCTTACTGTTAAATTCACAACTGTGCTGTGTACTATCACAATTACTCCAGTGTTCAATAATGATTTTTTGTATGCAGTATTTCCCATCAATACAGCCATACATTCATATCCAATCCCAGAATTTTGAGCCCCTTTCTAAGCAATGGAGTAATCTCATGTGCATTTTCCTTGATAAGAGTTAAAGTAATTCATCATGTTTCAATTTGAAAGAGGAGGTAAAATGTGAGTTGGTCATAATATTCCATGTACATTGCAAAAGCTTCTTTCCTACATTTACATCTTAGATTACTTTCTCTCAACCTGATGTACTCCATTTCACAAATACAGTTCCATAATACAATTGCAGCATGACCTTTTTTATATTTATTTTAAGATGCCATACTTTTAAATACTAGATTAATCAATTTAAATAGCTTTTGGGATACAACGGGTTAAAAACCTAACAAAGGTTTTTACCTGTTCAAGCACAATGTAGTTAGCAACCTCCGGTTAAATATAGTCAAATCTGCATGAGTTCTGGTTGTCTGTGAAAAAGAAAGGTTACTATATTGTAAGTAATTCTTTCACAGTTAGACAGCTGCTGTAATAGTATCTGGGAAAGACCTTGGGATTTGAGGCAAAGTGATGTTGCCTAGAAAATGGTTGGCTAAGAGACACATAGCCCCCTCTAAATACTGGATAGGACAAGAGGCTCTGAAGGGACCCTTTCTAGTTTCTTGGACTGTAAATGAGATGGTTAGAGAATTGCACTTTCAAACAGGTAAGATTGAGGCCTGCCTTACCAGGCAGATCAGACAGGAAACACAATTAGATAAGTTAATTTTACCTTATTGTAAAGCTACGTTAATAGAATCTTGCAACTCTGAAAATTCCTTCCTTCTCTCTAGAGTTCCTGTTGGCTTCCCAATTTACTTTGCTTATTGAATGCTTGCAGGGAGAAAATCAACCAGTCCAAGCCTGCCAGGCAGGTAAGTGGCTGCTGTCGGGTGGGAGAGGAAATGAAAATGTGTGTGGTTTGTGCTGGTTAGGAGGAAGGATATGTGAGAGAATGCATGAGAGGTGCCATGTGGGTCAGGAAAGATATACAGGTGTGCACAAGAGATTCCAAGTGGGTTGGTTTGGACAAATGAGGAGGATGACATGAGTCAGGAAATGTGCACAGAGATGCATGAGAGGTACCATGCCGGTGGGATAGGGCATGCAAGGGGGGAGGCGGGGGGGGACTCCAGGGGGAAAGCATGGGCTGGAAAGGATGCATAAGGATACATAAGAGGTGCACATAGATTGGAGAAGATGCATGGAGGACAGAAGAGAATGCACATAGGTCCCTTCCCTTCCCTTCTGCTGCTCCCAGGTAGAGTAGGGACTGAGAAATTGCAAGAGTGGCTGGGAAATTGTCACAGAACGGAATATTGATACTGAGGATCATGTGACTGCAGCAGCAGCCTGGCAATTGAAGCAGCCAAACTTTCTCAAATTCCATTTTATTTTATTTGGAGATGTAAAATGAAAACAATTGCTATGAATAACATGTACTTTTTCAGTGACTTTCGAATAATATAGGCAGAAGTAAACCAGTTGTTTTGAACTTTAACTTTCATCAGGGTGAATGAGGCAAAATACTGTAGTTCTAATCTAAAACATCTGGGTTACCTATAACCTGTCCTTAGAATACAGTTAGATTTGAGATGGATTAGGGAACTATTTTATAGCCAACATCTAAGCACTGAGGCTCTTAACAGTCTAAGTAAGATGAAAAATTTGCAGGATGGCTCATAACTTCACATATTCCTACAAACAGGTCTAGAGAGAATTGGATATTGTAAGACTTACTATGTTCAAGGTGAACATGGATTGGGTGGTTGAGTTTGGCATCTTTGCCAATACTTCCATAGAAGCAGAAAACTTCAGGATGGATTTATTGTCATACAGACTAATCACAGGTGCATCAGTGATTCTTATGTTCATAATTACTGGAAGTGGCTTTGCATGAATATGAGAAATCTGTGGAGTTTAAAAGTAGAGACCAAGTTTCAGGAAAATTAAAACAGAGTTTTAAAAATGCAAACAGAAAGTTTCGAAGAAATAAAAAACACTTACAGTGGGAATGATGCTCTCCAATGTATCTGTGGTTAACTTGAAATAAGAAGAAAGCTGTAAAATGAAATGACATGTTAGGTTATCTTACAAAAATCGTGTGCCTTTATATGGGCTTAATTATCTGGAGAGACAATGGTCTCCTTTTCATCTAATGTGTTCCAACAGAGGCTAGACAGGTCAATTATTTATCGGGGTCTTTAATTTAGCTCCCTAAATGCATTTCTCCCATTGTTCCCTAAATGCATGTTTTTCAAAAGAATGTACTGATTCAATTTTCTTACTAGCAAATAGAGTTTGCTAAACCTTTGTTCAGAAAGACTTCTGTTTAATAGAAGCTTTTAGTACATATGATAGCCATAAGCAAATTAAGCCTGCAGAATATTATTTCTATTTCTATTTCCACTTGGAGATGGAAAATGTAATTAGCACGGAAAATGGGGTGGGGGGGGGGACAGGGAGAGAAAGATGGATGAACAAAGATGAATTTGGAGAGCACCTTGTGTATAACTCCCAGATTTTTAGCTGTTTTTAAATTAAACCCAGAAATATTAAAGTATAGGAGTTATTAAATAGTTCTGTACTAAAGGTTCCACAAATGAAAGCAAGTCATTAGATCCCACCCCAACCTCAAGATATTACTAAAGATTAAAGCTTGATGCCATTTGGAATTCCTTTGAACATCAGCCAGGAGGTGCTGTATGAGCTGTCATCTGATAGAGTACACTTATAAATAAATAGATGTGTTGCAATTGCAATTTCCAGGATCCCTATGTTTCAGAATGTAGTTGTCAAAGAAAAAATTCCAGAGGGCTAATAGAGTATGTTCATACAAAGCCAAGAGATCAGATAGATGTGATGGAAAAAATGGCTCATATTACTAAGAACAGTTTGCAACTCCTAGAGGCCTTTCTAGGAATGCTCCAGTTTTCCATGACAAATCCCTTCTTCAGCCAGTTCTCTTTGGCAAGATGAAGTCCTTCTCTTCATTAATTCCTATCTCATGCAGCCTTATGAACTGTTGACCTTAAGTACTGTCCACCCAATCTTGAGTAGACAGAAACTATAGCTATATGATATTTGGTATCCCTGCCAATCCCTAACTTGCTTCTCTTGCCTTTGTTCCCAGTTACTTTCAGGCTCCAATTTGAACAAGGACAAACATTCTGCTCCAGCCCCAGCATTGTTCAGGACAATTGAAGTCTCACTCACTCATGAGCTGGAGAGGGGATGAAGGCAATGCCAGAAAGCAGGCTTCACATGGAGATGTTTGTATCATGATTAGTTGCAAGTGGAGAAAGGCCCATAGTAAACTATGTCAAGGAGAAGGCTGGGCTTCGGCAGGATTTTAAATGGTAGAATAATACATAGCATCCCTTTCTTTAAAACATAGCGTTTTGCACTTACCATTTCCTCTTGCTCAGCAGAGATAGTAAAAGCACCAGAAGTGAAGTAAGCCAGTGAAGCAGACTGCAAGAGATATTCTGAGATTCCTATATAGAACATAGAGTTGTTCTCATTCAGAAGAACAAAGGGAGTTGGCTTGAAGGGGGGCTCTGTGATTTCTTCCACTGGATAGACTGTTCCCTGAAAAGGATTTCAGAAATGATAAGATATCATAGACTGCAAACTTTGGCCTTTAAAACAGTTTTCAGGGAACCAGATCATTGAAATGCATCCTTGAAATTAAGAGCATAAGACATACTGTATGGCCAGAGCAATGAGTACAGTTCTAGAACCCTAAACATGGGAAACTCAAAAGTCAAACTTTTTTTTTTAAAAAAAATTAAAAATAAACTGTGATTTAAAGCAATGCAATAGATGTCCCTGAAATCTTGGACTACTTCGGCTTCACAACTGTTGCCACTGGCTAGAGTAGGAAATCATAGGTGCAGCAAAAATAGCACTAGTTAATATATTTAAATACCTCTTTGATATGGTTTGCCATCAAAGTTATTGTTGAGGCAAAATGATGCTTATTCCTTCAAGTGAATAACAGACATATCATAATGCAATTTCAGAAAATGTACATTATAAATATGTTAGACTTTACCTTTAAATCCAAGTTAATTGATGATTCCAAGATAGTTGAAGAGTTTATCAGGGAATAGTCTATTACTGCAAAGTTACCAACCTGAGCTTGGACTGTTGGGATATGGGATAAAATTGTCAGGATTAGATAACGATGCTTAGTGACAATAGTCAAGATGTAAACTAGTCCTGATAATGATTTTTTTTTTTTTTTACAAAAGTAATGGTACTAGTACAGGAGACTGCTTGAATAGTTACATAAATATTGTAAAGCTATATTTTCAACATAACCGTAAGCATCTTTACTTAAGTATAAGTTTGCAAAAATTATATATTTCTGCCATATAAGTTCATTTAGCATCAACTATAATTTTGATTATAATTTTGATGAGACTGCATCCTCCAGAATGTTCTACCAGAACAAGCCATCTCTCATTCACCATCTAACTGATTTTTCTGTGCATTGAAGCAGGCTGCACTAGATCTGGGTGTCCATTCTGACTCCTCAATTTTATGATTCTATAAAACAAGCACCAAAATTATTATATTTTTAATTATACAAAAGTATCATTCTAGCCATCATTTTTATTTTCAGAAACTCAACAATAGCATTGGTGAAACTACTAGAAGTGGAAGGTTTCATAAAAAACTACCATAAAATCATTAGCTCATTTTGCCAAAACCACCCAGAAAATATACCTGGATATTGGCTGAAGTCTTTATTAATCTTTTGGATCACAAAATTCACTTGCGGACACAACTATAGGAATGCAAGCAAAAATTATTATTCTAGTCAATGTTTACTTATATGTTAGTAATAAGATATTCCGAAGACTTCATAAGTCTATATTATCTATACTTATATCTTGCTTTATCCTGTATTTGAAGAATAGTGATTTTAAAAATCCATACATAATTGAATACAGTAGATTTGTTGTAATCAGTTAAATACATAACTGGTACTATAGATCTCACTCTAAATGCTTTATCCTTGTCAATGAAATCTATAGAAATAAAGCAAAACAGAATGTTTCTTTAAAAATACCCAAGCACGGCCCCAGATATCTTTCAAAAGGAAGCTCGCTCTATAATTCTAGACAATCTAAAGGCTGCTTTAGTGAGCTGAATACATTCATTCATTGAATGCCCCACTATACAGAGAGACTTTATTTAAGCAGAGAATATAATGTACAACAGCAATCCATAAATCAAAAATGATAATGATTCTGATGATTATGGAGCTGAACAATAAATATCCCAAATGAGATATTTAGAATATTTCAAGTGATTTATTTTGAATGTCTGACCTCATCTTCTGATATAATATATATGTGATGAAAATGAAGACAAGAAAATATTTGCTATAGATGTTTTAAATAAATAACAACATGTACAGTAATTTGAACTAATTTCTAAGCCACTGATGGGTTCTTATCTTCCTGTTCTACTATCTGATCCGAGCAAAATAAATCATGCCTATTTTTTTTATACACGCACAAACAATGTACATATAAATATAAATCCTATTTATTCAAATGAACATTAAACAGCCTTATGAAAGCATTCATTGCCACATTAAACTACTTTTTATAGTTTTTAATGGGTTAATTTTGAAAATGTCTTTGTGGTAATTTGTTCACATAAATGGTACACAACTTGCAAACTGCAAAATACTCAGGGGTGAAATCCAGTAGGTTCTGACAGATTCTGGACAACCGGTAGCAGAAATTTTGAGTAGTTCGGAGAACCAGCAAATACCACCTCTGGCTGGCCCCAGATTGGGGTCGGAATGGAGATTTTGCAGTATCCTTCCCCTGGAGTAGGATGGGAATGGAGATTTTGCAATATTCTTCCCCTGCCACACCTACCAAGCCACGCCCACCAAGCCACACCACGCCCACCAAGCCACACCAACAGAACTGGCAGTAAAAAAATTTGGATTTCACCACTGAAAATACTTATAACATTTTTGCATGTATTAAGGCTTTTGTTATTTATTTTAATAAACACATTTTTAGAAGAAATTGGATGTAGGAAGGGAACATTATGAAATAAATCCTTGTGGCTTACATTTGTGGCCAGCATGCTACACAGAGATTTTACCAGAGAAGCAGTAGAATATGTATACAACCATCTGAAAAAAAGCAAAAATATTGTTAATTGTGTTAATTAAATTTTCTGTGCGTGCATCTATTATATGGGAAAATTGATCAAAGCTAGATGTTTAAACAATTCTGGATTTTTTAAACTGATCCCCGTATTTTAGGTGGGGGGGGGGAGCAGCTGTAATGTTCTTGAACATGATTGAATCATAACTGAAGTCCTGTGTCAGTTTTCTACTAAATGTTTCCCAATTTTTACTTAGAATATTTATTGCAAATAAATCTGAAGGTTTTTTTTAGTGAAAAACTGCTGGCATATGTACGAGTTTGAAGCTATGACTTATATTTCCTGATACTTATTAAAATCATTAGACATATTTTTCCTTCTTAATCAAATGAATCTCCTGTATTTGTTCAATCAATTATGCTGAACTATCAGAAGTGAGTTTCAGAAATTTACAGTAATTGCTAGGCTTGGTTTCTGTAGTATTATGGAATATATTATTTGTATTATTTGTAATGGTAAAAGCTACACATACCAGTGTTTAAAAACTGATAATCAAACTGTTTTAGGGATCCTACGGTCAATACTTGCAAGTATATTTTTTAATTAGAACATTTTCCACTGTACCTATAAGATTGATTCAATTTGATGTCCATATCATCTACATCTGCTTTACAGCTGTCAAGCGACAATTTTAAATGACCGAATACATTCTGAGACACGTTTACAATTGCTGTGAGATTTACTCCTGAAATGAAGACAGCCGCACTTCCAGAATCCTTGCTGTGGACAGTAAAACAACAAATGTTCATTTTATCCTCTTGTTCTCAAGAAAATGCCAAGATTGCTATAGACTTACATAACAAAATAACCTCTAAGATTAAACATAAACATATAATATATAATATATATGACTAATAAAATAAAAAATACATGTTTCTATAAGAATAACAGATCTAATCATCGAAAATTAAAAGTTCATTTTTATTTTTCTTAAACAGGGAATTCAAAAATGATCTCCAAATAGAAACAAAGCAAGATAAGGGTTTGTCTTTCATCAAAGTAGTCAGTTTTGTCATCTCTGCCAGTTCCATTAATTCCACAATCCACTCTTCAGTTGTGGGAATTTGTATATCTTTCCACTTCTGATTGCTTAAATTTTATATTTTCATATGATGTTTCTGCTTTTTTGTTTTAACCTTAGACTAAGGGGTTACTTTATTATATATTTCAGTATCTATACTGAAGAAAGTCAGAAATCAACTTTTTCTTTTTAATTTTCTTGTTGTTTTTTAACTTCTTTCGCTTTGTCCTCCCATTTTTCCTTTTATTTTATATTTTATTTCTCTTTGAAATTTAATAAAGTTAATAAAAAAAATAAAATGCCAGGAAAGCTTATGCTGAAGAACACATGAAGATGGGTTCTTTTTAGCAAGCAACATAGCTATTTTTTTTTCAAAGCCTGCCTTTCAGATGCATCACATTACAACTTCAGCCATTTCTTGTTGACATCTCTGGATAGTACTAAATTATGGAAAGTTGATGCAAAATCTAAGCTATGCCTAAATACACCAGAAACACCTACCAGAAAAGCAACTCACCTACTCAAAAGAATGTACAGGTAGTCCTCAATTTATGACCACAATTGAGCCCAAAATTTCTGTTGCTAAGTGAGTTTTGCTCCATTTTACAACCTTTCTTGCCACAATTGTTAAGTGAATCACTGCAGTTGTTAAAGTTAGTAACCCAATTTTTAAGTGAATCTGGATTCACCATTGACTTTGCCTGTCAGAAGGTGGCAGAAGGTGATCACATGACCCTGGGACATTGTAAGTGTCATAAATATGAGACAATTGCCAAGCATCTGAATTTTGATCACGTGACTATAGAGATGTTGCAATGATCATAAGTGTGAAAAATGGCCATAAGTCACTTTTTTCAGTGCCGTTTTAACTTTGAATGGTCACTAAAGAAACTGTTGTAAATTGAGGACAACCTGCAACCTCCTGAGATTTATTCAGTGGGTAAATATCTGCATTCTTACAAAGTTGGTTCTATTTTAGGCAGAATAAGATCATTGTTAGGTTGATGCTGAGGGCAGCAGGATGCAGCTGCTCCCCTTAACTGCTTGTTCTCCTTACTTCCTGAATCTCCCTATTTTCTATGTCAGCCAGGATAAAAGTATCTTTTTAATTAATCCAGGGTTTCCAATTTAGAAGTTGGAGTTTTTAAGGCTTAAATATGTCTAAATATGTATTTCTTCAAGAGGCAGACTGTCTTATCTTGCAAGAAGGCAGAAGTTTTTATCCCTTTGCAACACCCTTCTTCGAACTCAAGATGAAGCACATAAACCTAGTTTTTAAAAAATTATTTTGCAATACTGGTGAATTTTTAAAATTAAAATATAATCATGCCTTTGTGGTTGTCTAGTACGTTCACGGTACTTTCACCATTCTGCCTTGACAATGTCCCTCCTGTCTTGATTCAAACAGCCACTTTGGGGAACATTTTTTGATAGGACCACAATGGAATAAAAGACTTGCATTTCCACCTCCTCCTCCTGGGACTGTTATTTGTGCTTTATAAAATGTGTGCAAGCATTTGAATTTGTAAAGCTGACACGGTATTAATGTCTTGCCTTCATTATTCCACTTACAATAGCCAGGTCTCCACGCTCCAATCTGCAGTAGCTATTGCTGAAGCATTTTCAACTAATAGTTTAATTCCAGTGCCAGAGATGAGCGACAAGGATGTATTGGGCAACTCCATGTTATCAATTCTTATCCTGTCAAACACCAAAATTATGTTAGCTTGATTTAAACCACAATCCATGAAAATAGGTAAGGCTAGCAGGAATAGTATAACTCACCATCCAATTTCTGGTGAAACACTAAGCACCTACAGATTTTGTATCATGCACTTGTATCTGTTTTTCCTAGTATCGCAGAACTCAGTGGACTCTACATGTGATTTCTTTTTAGAAGACACTAACCAAACTACATTTATTTATTTAATCTATATATATAAAAACCAAATACCACAGACTATCATGAAATCTCCAGAATGGTAAAACTTACAAACTTGAAATTTGGCATGTATGTTCCTCTTGGCTTCTAGGTTTCGCTAAGAAAGGATGGTCATTTCAAAATGACCATAAGATCATTAGTATTTCATATACAGTATTATATTCACATGCTCTGATGCTAAGGAGTTAGATGTTCTACTCCCTCTCCCCACCTGAAAGGAACTGCTACCCCTTTGCTAAACCAGGCGTGGGCATGGCCATCACATGACTCATCCGGCCTGCGGGTTGGGACATTCTATTCCTCCTCTGTTCCAACTGCCAGTTGCCTTATTCTACATTAAGTTTCAGGCTTTAAGTGTCAATTTATCACACCAATCACATAGTTTTGTAGCGAAGCACGGGCGTCCAGCTATTTTGTTATATTTGTATTCTGCCAAGCTTAGAAAATGGCTTTGGGCGACTTGCCCTATAACTGCATACAACAAAGATAAAGATAACACACTTTTTTTCATAGTATCACAAATGAATAGCTAAATATCTATTGAAATTCTAAACTGTCCAGGTCATGCTTGTCCCAAAGGTGTTTTTCAAAAGGCAACTGGACTTTCCTGTTCAGGTGATGAGTGTCCTGGAGTCCTGTTCATGTGATGGGTGATTTGCTGACCACAAGAGCAAGAAAGAACACCAAGAAAGCCAAGTTGCCTTTTGAAAAACACCTCTGGGTCACAGTATCACAGGTAAGATGCTGACTATTCAAATCCCCAAAAAAACTTGGTCTCAAGTTTCCAGACAACCAGTTATAATTCAACCAGGATATTTAAAAAGAATGCTGCCCCAGGAGACCTATCACTTGATAGTTTTTCTTGTATATTTTTAAGCAGTTGGGCATATTTGTGTAAGAGAATAGCTAGGCCTTCTGTGTTCAGTGCCTGAATATATATCTCTGTGTTGTTGAAAGCAAAGCTGTGTTTGCTCAGTTAGTGACTCAAACCAGTTGAATCTTCTACCATCCTTTGAGATTACCAGCTTAATTTTATACAGATTAAAAATGGCTGTTGAAACTTGCCCATAATAGAACGATAAGAGAGGCACATTACTAAATTGGGCTATATGAAACATTAATCAGAAACTGGGAGATGGCTACAAGATAGCCATACCAGTTAATCTCTTCAATTGGAAACCAGATTCCAATAAGTGCAGAAAGAATACCTACATTTATTCACCCATTTCAAAACTAAAGCTGGACAAAAAAAGGAATCAAATGGGTTTTCTGGGTGTAGTAAAGAACTGGAACTTTGAGAAATCTGTATTAAAACAGTGCTTGCTCATAGACAGAGTTGTGAAATTAATGAGGGGGAAAGAAAACCATTGGAAGTACTTAACACCGAGCTATACTAAAGGGTCCTGTTATGAAAATATTTCTTACTTTGAAATTGTGTAATTGAGTGCAAAAAACCAATATGTAGATTCTCCATTCCAATCTTCAAATGTCTTTCCTTTTAATTTCTGCTTCAGAAGCTCTACTCCAAATTGATTACCTATAAGCATACAACATATATGTTCACTGAAATAGTAATTTATAGAAATCTGTGTTACTTCTTACTCTGCTTCTATGTTTTTATCAGCCTGGAGTGGTTGCTAGGAATGACTTATTGCATTTTAAGTTACTAAAATATTTTGAAAATGCTTTGGTCCATCCTATGCAAAATGCTATTAAAGATCTCCTAATAGTGATTGGCGGCCATGCATTATTTTATTACTGAATAATATAATGACACAAAAGTTTGGATAGTGGATACTGCAGTATTGCAGTGGAGAAAATCACAAAATACAGAGGTTTACAAGGAAAAGTAAACAACTGTGGCAAATGAAAGCAGAGAGAGTATTAATAGTAATAGGTGGTTTGGGTGCAATCCCAAAACAGTGGAGGGCCACTTATTAAAATTATATGCTGCCAATTTCACCAAGGTTAAATCAACCACTTGAACACCATCACTAATGGCAAAATCACCATCAATCAATTGCAAAAGGCAGCTTTACTTGCTGCAATTATATCTTTAAATAACATCTACCTACCCCACATCTTTGGAAAGGACTCAATAGGTGGATAAAAATGCCAAATCCAGCCTAACATCTGGCTGATTGTGTAACCAATTATGATATCCCACATTTCTTGTAAGAACTCAGAGGAAATCTTAATGGGAAGATACATTATTTAACAATGTTAACTGGTACAATCAGGGTTGGCATTTGGTTCAACATCTTGATTAAATGTCCTCTGGTGCACTCATTCTTCTGAAGGTTACAACATAGCCATAATTCCAAATATTTTTTCCATACTCACCATAGTCCAACGCTTTTTGTGTAATTTTCACCTTGATTCCTGGGTTAGCCTCAAGAAGCAGAATGAATAAGCCCAAGATAAGGAAGGTGATAGAAACTTTCATTCTCTTTCTTCTCCTCTTCCTCCCTTTTTTGACAGAAATGTATAAAGATAAATTAATTTTAAAAATTTGGTGACTAAATACATACTGTTTAAGTATCTGACCACACTCGTTTAATTTTTTTTCCAGAGAGAAAGAAACCCTCCAGCCTTAAAACTTAGCACCTTGATCATGAAAAAACAATTATAAAGATGTGTGAAGACATTCTGCATATTCTCAGAATCTCATTTTTCTTTATATATATGAGAACTGAACTTTGTTTCAGTTTCAGTTTCAGTTTATTTAGTTTTATATACCACCCTACTCCCGAAGGACTCAGGACGGTGAACAAGATAAAACACATACAATACAAAATTAAAAAAAACAATTTAAAACGTATTAAATAAATTTGGCCCATACTAATTAAAATACCCCTGTTTTTAAAAACAAATTAAAATTAAACAATTAAAAAGAGTTAAGCCATTGGCAATATTTAATATTGGCAATATTAAATCTTCCTTCATTTCTAATGTTGTTGATCATTGTGAACAATTTCATTTTTCTTATGACACTTTGCATACAGTGAACTGGAATCAGTGAACACATTCTAATTTAGATTAGGTTGAAGTTAAACTTCTCACAAAAATTAGGAGTAAAATTATGCCCAATAGTGAATAGGCAAACTGACTTCCTTTCTAATGAAAATAAAGCTGACTGCTTTGATTGTTGACAGTCAGTTGTAATTTAATTGAAGCAAGCCTTTATCAAACTTTGCTCAATATTATGCTGACAAGAGTCTTTCGTGTTCAATAAAACTTACTCTCAGGTTAACATGCATCAAAACAGGTTTATTATTATAACTTCACATTTTGAGGGAATTAATACCACAATATCATCTTCTGCTGATCAAATAACTACAGGGCAAAGAAGTAAATATCCTTGTCCTAGAACTTCAGTTTGAAGTTCGAAACTTTTGAGCTGAGCTATGCTACCAGATCTGGGCCATGCAAACCTAGTTGACAGTTAGTTAGCAATAAGAAGATACAGAAAAGTCTAAACTCACAAATCCCTTGGTGTTTGCTGTATGTGTAACTCCTAAACCCTTGTCTATAGGTATAAGGGCTTACACTATACACCTGTATAATATCCCTTTAACATAGTATTAATCCATTACCTCTCTCACTGGAAGACTTATAAATTCTCATAGCCTTTCCCATTAAACATGGGGCAATTCTGACCACCCATTCATTCTCAGGCCATTACAAGAGGTAGTAATTCTTTCAAACGTAGTAAAGTAAGCTTCTATGTCTTCTTCCTCTGTCAATTTAGGGAGTTTTATGTCTTTTATGTACCACCTCCTCTACTATATGTTCTGAAAATCCTAAAGTTGAATGTGCCCCTTCTGGAAGTGTATCAGCTCCCCATCCTCTTCTCTTCTTGCTTTTCTTTTACACTTTTTACATTCTAGACTCTTTCCTCTCTGTCTTCCCCCAAAGTTGCTCTTTTAATTAATCAAAGCCTTTCTTCTTGCTATGACTTCAACATTTTTGTAATGGTATCAGAGCCTAGCCTGGTTTCTGGTCGGTCTGCTTTCTTCTTTGGTTTAATTAGTGGTGTAGAGTAGATATATGCAGTGGTGGGTTGCCCCTGGTTCACACCGGTTCTATAGAACCGGTAGTAAAACCGGCAGGAGGCTCCGCCCACTGACCCCGACATCACCAAAATGCTTCTGCGCGTGGCCCTGTTGCAAACCAGTAGTAAAGGTAAGTAGAACCCACCCCTGGATATATGTCTCTACAAAAGTAGTAATCTCTTCTAAGGGAGAATCAGTCCCTTCTGCCTTTTCCCATGTCTGTTTGGTGTAGGCTGCAGTGAGATGTCTGGTTTCTGCAGCCCAGGATGTTGGATATTGCCTGCAAAGCCTGAGCATTGCAAGGCCAAACTCCCTTCCTTTTGTTACCAAGGTTTGTTCTCTTTTCATGGAGTATTTAATGAATTCCTTGAGTTTAAGCCAATTCCACTTGTGTGTTTGGTAACTTGTGTTGGATATCCACCACTATTACTTTATCACAGGTTCTTTTAAGTATATCCAATTCAGTTGGCTCAACACACCCAAGAACCAGCACAAGTCTCTAGGGAAACCTGCACACAAGCATTCACAAGCTATTACTACTCACCCCTACTCTTCTCCACTCCTACTACTCTATTACTCCTTGTGGATCCTACTACTCCTAGTGAATACTGATAGAGAAAACTCTCTCTTTCAAGCTGCTTTACTTCCACACATTAACACACACCTTTTGCTCTGTCTCTCTTCTCTCTCACAGACGTGACCACCCCAGCTCTTCTCAGCACAGCTTTTATAGTTGCCCTGCTTTCTGGGGAGAAGTCTTAAAGAAACAGGATGAATGTAGCACAGCTGCTGGCTATTTTCTGGGCAACCCACCCTCTCACGCTTACACTGTTTTTTCTCCATTACAGATAGCAATAATTGGGAAACTCTTTGTAAAGAGATACTGAAATAACCTTTTTCATATTTTAATTTTGCCTTGAATGACAAATATTGATTTGGTCATAGTGAGTTCTATATTTTGAATACAGCACAGTTCCCCAAAGAAAGAAAATTATACTGTCTCAGACTTTAATTTTAAACACACTGAGAAATAGTCTGAGGCTGAATTTGTGTATAATGCTGAGAGAGAAAGCCTCACTGAAATCATATTTCTGAGTTAACATGCTTACCACCATATTGAATCTGTAAGAATTTGTTGTCATATGAACACATTGTAGTAGGATATTTATCTTCATGCCTTATTCATATGAATTCCAAAAAGCAATTTACAAAGGCAAATAATTATTATTACCTAGTTAGATTTAGAGCCTGTATTTTCTGTAGAAACTCAGGGCAGCTTACATATTAGATTTTTATTCCAACACCATCTTGTGAGTTGTGTTGGCTGAAAAAGATTGCCCAAAGCCACCCAGTAAGCTTTCATGGCTGATGTGAATGTGAGTCCTCCTATACTTAGTCCAATATGCAGCCATTCTACATTTGTTTTCAATTTGACACAGTGGCTATTTTTTGTCACAACTACTTTCTCTTGCTTCTAACTTTAAAGAAAATCTCTCTATACAAAGGCCATCTTTAAAAAAAATGCTTACTATCCAGAAGTCAAGGCAAAAGGGCTATGTATCACTCATATGATCCACAAATTGTAACAAAGCACAGAAACATAAATTATCTGTCTTTCTAATGACCTGGTTGCTTTGTTAGCTAGAATTTGCAGTTTCATCACGAATTTCAGTCATTGGTTACTATGTTTATCTCCTAAACTAAGTTTGTTTTACACGGAGTACTTTCTCATTGAACGGTTTATGAGAAACTGGCTCTTTATTTAGAATTAATGAGCAGAAGTGGTGATCCAGCTCATTGAATTTAATCAGAACTTGCTACACAATAGCACTTATTTTGGCCAGCAGCTGCCGAAAGCTAATTTTGCCTCATTCATTTTAGATCAGCTACGATTTTTTGTTTCTTTCTGTTCTAGAAAGACACCCAACTAAGTACTTCCCTTAGAATCAAAGCTTCTTTTTTCCCATCAACTAACCATCTGATTAATCACCAAATCAATGGGTTTCCATTACCTTAGTTTTGTTAGGATGAATCTCCGTGAGCACAGAATGAATCTTGTCTGTCTCATAAGCAAGCACCTTTATTTATAACCCAGCTATGAGAGAAACTCATGCAATGAACATAATCTGTAAGAAATCTTTTAAATTCAAGCAAACATTAACTATACCTTATGATGTACACACAATTGATCTAGTTAAGATATTTTTTAAAGAGATAAAAGATTACTCCTCTATTTCCATCTTTGTAGATTTCTGGGCTCTTGCCATTGCTGAATGGCTTTATCAGACTGTTTCCTATCTTTTTGATGGTTTATGACTCCTTGGACAAATAAAACTGCTGGTAAATGGTTCCTAAAGGGAGACAAAAGTTTAAGTACTGTGGAATGAAACTCTGACCTATAATAATTTTTATGCATAATTCTTTTCCTTATTAAAGCAAAAGCCTGAGTATTGTATTGTTGGCCACAATACAAAAGGCTCCAGAGTTTTTTTAAAAAAAATAATTTTAAGTTCCACATGTTTGTCTCAGTAGACTTTCAACAGATTTGGTCTCTAAAACAGCAAATATTGCAGATAACATTGCTTTTGATGTTAGAATAAAGGCAAAATCTTAATATGCCTTATGGTCGCATAATTTAGCCTTATGGGATCAAGGCTGTTGTTTTGCTAGAACTCCTGTGTTGATGGCTGAAGCTAGGTTTAAAAAGTAGCGAAAATGCATAGAATTAAGAAAGGGAACACTTTTGGAAATATGCTCATCTGACTTTGAAAGAGTACTTTTTAGTTCTTTTCCTAAAAACATTTATTCGTCATCCCTCTCATCATCCATTCTTCATTTCAACATCCTTGTTTATGATAGAGAATATATACTCATCCCTAAGAAACTATTTAATGAACTATTATAAAACATACCTAGATCTTCCCAAGATATATTTTCTGTCTACCTTTATATCTTACAAAGAGTGACTAACTAGGGATTTAAATTTGAAAGGGAAATCTCAGTATAGAAGGTCAGGAACTTTAGGGGTTTGATAAAAGCCAATGAATCACTCTTCCTTGGCCTGGTAATGGTTTATGGAGACTTAGTCTAATAGAGCTGAAGGGTCTCATAGTGGGGAAGGGTGAATTATACAAAAAAATAGCCTGATGAAAATGTACCAAGAGCTGAGAACTTATTTGACTATTGATAACTGAGGTCATGTTTCAAATGTTGGATATTTTCGTAATGTTGGATGTTCAGTATATAATTCTGAAACAAAAACAAAATAAAGAAAAAAGTTATTTCTAAAATATAGCAGTTTTGTAGGGTATTATTTAGAATACTGTATATATTTGTCACCTGTGGTAAGCATGCCAGGATCCTCAGATATGTTCTGGCTTTTTTGGTCTATATAGTTTGGTTCCTCCAAAAGGACTTTACCCCAGGGGTGAAATCCAGCAGGTTCTGACAGGTTCTGGAGAACCAATAGTGGAAATTTTGAGTAGTTTGGAGAACTGGCAAATACCACCTCTGGCTGGTCCCAGAGTGGGCTGGGAATGGATATTTTGCAGTATCCTTCCCCTGGAGTGGGGTGGGAATGGATATTTTGCAGTATCCTTCCCCTGGAGTAGGGTGGGAATGGATATTTTGCAGTATCCTTCCCCTGGAGTGGGGTGGAAGTAGAGATTTTGCAGTATCCTTCACCTGCTACGCCCACCAAGCCACACCCATTAAGCCACACCATGCCCACCAAGTCACGCCCGCAGAATCAGTAGTAAAAAAATTTGGATTTCACCACTGCTTTACCCATAGAGAACATTTCAAAAATTTGCAAATCTTTGGTTCTTTAAACCTCTAAACCCTAAACTTTGGTTCTCCACATCTTTCTTCTGTATGAGTGGTATCTGTTTAGATTAAAAGAAGACACTTGGGCAATTCATTAATCTTGACTGTAGCTTTGGCCATTATACTGGCTTTAAAAGTAGCATGCCTTCAAATATGAGTTGCAGAAGAACATTAGTGGACACAGGCATGTCTCTATTTTCTGCTTCTGAGCATCCAAAAGGTCTTCCAGTATGTTTTTGGGTCAGTTCAAGATGATGGTTATTATCTATGAAGCCCTTTATGGTGCAGGATGGAGTTATTTGAGGGGCCCACCTATCTCCAGTTATTTCTGCTTGTCCTGTGTAAAGGAACATAGAAATGTCCTTGAAGAAAATATGTGGCAATCATTTGAAAAATATGAGCTTTAAAACAGGAAGGCATGAGGAAACTCCTGATTTTCTTTGTATTAAGAGGGAGAGAGACCCCGCCTCAAAGCAAACAAAAAACAGACAAACAAACAAATACCCACTGTCAGGCTTTTGAGATGGTGCTATTAAGCCTGACACATAAAGACCAACAGGGTGGACATACTGTTATCACCTAGAAACCATTTTATCTAATAGGATTCTGGTGGCATGCAAAAAATAAAGGAGAAATTAGAAAATGGGGCACATCTGAAAGAGGTTCATTAGGATATATTTTTAATTGTTTATAACTTTTTCCTTATAAAGGAAAATTTAAGTACAAACCCCAAAAACAAATAATTAAATAAGCCTAAAGGACAGCTTTCTGAAATAAAGGAATGTCTTTTTAAATAAATGGTATATGGGCAGTATGTCCATGAATGAGTCTATCTTGATAGCGTAGTTGTATGCTTGTTTGTTTCTGAGCCACCCTGGATGCTATGTGTTGTTTTTAAATTATCTTTATTATTGTCTATTTGTAAATGTTACACCCAGAATCACATGTTTAAAAAAAAAGTGGGCTGCCATACACATTTAAATAATGAATAAAAAAAAAAAATCTGGTTGAAAATACTGGACTAAGCTACGCCTTGGCCTGATGAAATAGAATTGTTCTTATTTTTTTTTCTTGACTCATTATAAATTATATGGTAAATATTGATATCTGGTTGATATCCTATAACATGAAAGCTTCCTACATGAATTCAAGCAATGTTCCAGATTACTATCTTGTGGAATTCTAACTGATCCTGCTACTCATGTTCCTTTTGCTAAGTGGAACAAAAGTGAACACAGAAAGGGGTAGGTGGAATCTGAGAGTTTAGGCATGCTGATTGCTCATATCTATTACCGGCAAAAGCCTTTATCTGAAAGAATTTCATGAATGAGAGTCTTTAATATTGCCTGTGACTTTTAACTTTTCATACAACAGGCAGTGTCAAGGCAATCACAAAATCTGGATGTCTAAGTACTGAAAGGAAACTGCCAATTGTAGGACATGGCCTAAACCTTTGCTTAAATTTTAGAGATGGAATCAATTGCAGGGTTACATGTATGTCAAATAGCAGGAGGTCATTCTTAGTCACAGATGTTCTTTCTTTTTGGTGAGTTGAGCCTGATTTTACAAACTTTTTAAAAATGGTTAAGTGAATTACTGCAATTAATGAATCACAGTCATTAAGCAAATTGACTTTGCTTGTTGGAAGCTGGCTGTGAGGGTCACAAATGGTGATCACATGACCTTATGACTATCATAAATGAGCCCTGATGGCACTTCTGCTGACTGCCTGCAGTTTGATCCTGACAGGCTCAAGGTTGATTCAGCCTTCAATCCTTCTGAGGTTGTAAAAGGAAAACCCAGATTGTTGGGGACTATCTGTAAATTGCTTAGAGAGGGCTGTAAAGCACTATGAAGTGGTATATAAGTCTAAACGCTATTGCTATAAATACATGCTGGTTGACCAGCACCCCAATTTTGATCCCATGACCGTGGGGATACTGCAATGGTTATAAGTGCAAGGACCAATTGTAAGCCAGTTTTTTCAGTGCCATTGTAACTTCAAATAGTTGCTAAATAAATGGTCGTAAGCAGTGGTGGTATTCAGCCGGTTCTATCCGGTTCGGGTAAACTGGTAGTGGCAGCTACGGGAGGCTCTGCCCACTCACCCGGATATCATCACGTCCTGTTTTTAACCCTCTGTGCATGCATGGAAGCTTCTGTGCATGTGTGGAGGTGGCATGTGCGAGCGAAGCAAGCTCACATGCTCACATTTGCGAACCAGTAGTGAAGGTAAGTGAATACTACCCCTGATCGTAAGTTGAAGATTATCTGAATATCCATCAAATACAATGACAAGACTTAAAACATCTATTTAAATAGTCAGTCCATTTAAGCAATACAGTTCTTATTACATTGTTCTTATTTAGTCATATATTTGGTAACCCTGCATGCTGTTAGGTCCTGAGAAGCATAAAAATAATCAGCTCCATGATGTCTTTTCACAAGCTAGACCATTATGAAAGTGCTTTTTCTTGGCCCAAAGAAATATTTACACATTTGTCTCCTTTCTTAAAATAAATGCTTTAATTCCAAAACACAGAGATTGCATGCGCTACCTGAGAGAGAGAATTGGAAGTACTAACAGATTATTTCAACAACAGTAATAGTGATATCAAACGAACTTTTGAGATTTCAAAATGTGATGTGGTTATACCAACCAATTATTTATTCACAGCATTTGGAAGTTTATAGACAGTCAATGTTTTGTTTTTACACTTATTTCAAACGATGAGTGATAGTCTTCTTTAAAATCATCTAGAGAAAACTGCTTACAGAGTGCTAAGTATTCCACAGTAATTTTCACTTGATGAAACATCTGATTTCTTAATATTTGTAATTTAGGTCCGTGGAAATCAGTATATATCCCTGGGAAGTTAAAAAAAAGCAACAGAAAGAAATAATTTATCATCTCCAGTTACATTTAAATAGTTTCATTGTTTGGTTTTCATGTTGGTTTTCACTATGCACTAATTGTACTCCTCATTGCTGACTGTATTTTGCAACATTTTATTATCATTCTTTTCTTGTGGATTTGTGACTCACAATTTTAACTTCCCTCTATTTTGCTGAGAGGACTTTAGTTATTAGGCTGTCTAAAATATTGTTCAAAATGTGAAACCTGTAGAGCTAAATTTCATATATAGTATAATTTAAGATTCAGAGATATTCTGAAACAGAATGAGTTTAGGAGACAACAGACTAATAATTAGAAATGATTAAAAAGTTGTTTGAAGAGGTATAAATTTATATCTTTGACAAAGTATTTGAAAATTAGAAATAAGAAGGATACAAAGAAAAAAAACTGTTATATAATTAACAGTTTTTTTAAAAAAAATAAGATTGGAGTATATGATTTGGAATAAGACTTAAGGAAATATATGGTATAAAATGTTTTTGGTTTATTATTTTGATATGAAATGAATGATTGTAATATTAGGAATTATGTTAAATGAGATTTCAAACTTAAGGGGTGTAATATAGAGATGAAAGGAAAAATGGAATTTGGTTAAGATTAAAGTTAGGATGAATGGGTAATATTAATTTTTTAAAAAAAAGGAAGGAAGGAAGAAAGAAAGAAAACAGAGAGAATAAATACTATGGCAAAAAGGGAATATATAAATTGTGTTGAAATGACTAAAAATAGTTTAAATTTGTGAATCAGCCAATACTCTGTTCAGAAAAAATACATTGTATGTGTGTCTGTCTCTGTGTTAAAAAAATAAAAAACCCTTAAAAAAGATTAATAATTTTAAATTAAATCAATTTTTAGGACACTTCATTGCTGACTTGAAGGTTGCTATTTTTCATCAAGAAAACTTTAAGCAGAAAGCTAGCCTGAAAGAGCTAAATGAGATGTCTACTTCTGCCCTTTTAAACTAAATTAGAGATCGTGGTTTCCTTTACAGGTGTTAATTAACATAGCAGTCCTGAACTAGTTGCATTATAACTAACTTGGAATGGTTACTCAGATTATTTTCTTTACATTCAAAAGGGTTTTGCGTCACAAAGCAATCTAATCATGCTCCAGGTTCCCTGCTAAAAATGCCAAATCCATTCAGACCCTCATTTCAAGGGTCTCCTCATATTGACTGACTGTGCACTGAAGTCATGTCAGCTCATATTGCCTCCACAGTGACAGAGACCTATATACAATTCACACAATCAAATCAACCTGCAGAAAATGAAGGTGCTGCACAAATGTTATGGGATGGAGAAGCATGTCAGTCTGATAAACCCTCTGCCTTATAAGTATATCCATTCTTATCTACTAATGTTTGATTTTGAGTCAATGTCTGATTATTTCATTAAAAACAAGGTGGGTGGTAGTTTGTTGTTATTTGCATTGGGACTGAAGTTCTGAATGTTCCCAAACATATCTTCTCAATAACTTAAACTTATGAATTTCGTCAGCAAAGACACCATCACTTTGCCTTTAAAAATAGAGGGAAATAAAGAAGATGTTCTGCAAAGAAAACTGAATTCTACCTTGTTAACTTCAGTCACAGCTTCAGAAAAAACAAGTTTGGCCATTGTGGGTAACTGTAATCCTCTCTTCAGTGCAGCTTAAGGCAACAAAGAAAAAAAAAAAAGGAAAATACAGAATAAACAGATGCAATATGGATGCTTCTTAGTAACACAAAGTCTGGATAATTTGAAGTGGCCTTTTCGTGACTCCCTAGGAACAAATAATAATTATACAGCAGCATAGTGCAATTAAGACTACAACATGAAATGCCAAGTTCAAGGCAACTCTTAGCCATCAGAATCAGTCATTTTCTCTCAGCCTAATGTACCTCACAGAGTGATAGGGTTGCCAGGTCTGCTTCCAAAAAATAGTGGACAAGGGGGGGGGGGTTAAGTAGTAAAAGAATAAAAAATTTTTTTACAATTAAATTATATATTTTCTTACAAACATTTTAACACGTATTAAAATAATCACTTCAAAACTTTCAAAATATATCTTTCTATAAGACCTAGGATCTTGGTAATCCTTGGGAAATATTTGTTCACTTAAATGACAACCCAAGAACCATAACTTGTGAAGAATTTCATAATTCTTACCAGCGATTGGTGGAATTACTGTATTTTGTAAGGAGTAAGACAAGAAGTTCTTCAAACGTTGGACCTATATAATAGAAAGCTATATTTAACTACTACTCCCAGAAAGTAGACACATATTTAGGCAAAGTCTGACCTTGATTAGTTTGCTTCATTTAAGTTCTCCTCTGAGTTGGCTCTATTTTTAAATTTTGTCTAGTCATGTCTCAACCAGCATTATTTTACAAATACTCAAGATTCCCAATTCTGACTATCTCCCACCTGATGAATTTACTTCCACAAGAGTATATACTGCCCATTGACTAAAAAATCAATCATTTATATTAATCAAACCCTTGATTAATATAAAATCTCATCAAAGTCTTCTCTTCTTGTCCCTACTCTTGTCCCTGGTAATTCCTCTTGCTCCTAGTATTTATCCAGATTCAATCTGGAAATAAGGGAGAATTTTCTGGCAATATGAACAATTAATCAGTGGAACAGCTTGCCTCCTGGAGTTGTGGCTGCTCCACTGCTGGAATTTTCATGAAAAGATTGGACAACCATTTGTCCTGGATAGTATAAAGACTCCTTCCTTGGACAGAAAGTTGGACTAGAAGACTAGAATGGACTCCAAGCCCTATGATTCTATGGCTACCTAGTTATAAATTGCTGTGGAATCAAGAGCAAATATATTGAGTTGTATTTTATTATAACAGGTATACAAATAGGTAAACAAATCTGAGTATAAGAATTTATTTTTATGACTGTCCTCCTTTTTACTCTTATCCTTTATTCTACTTTGAATTTCTTTTCAAAAAACCTGTGTTTAAATTATAGATTTAGAGTAATGAAGTGGGGTGAATTTCTTATCTGTTTAAATTATCACTCTGTATATGTTTTGATTGCTTGGAAATGTTGTATAGCTGTGCCTGTATAGCTAAGAGGACATAAGTGGAAATAGGTCAGATTGCCCCTTCATTCACACAATCTAGGAGAAACTCTAACTTCTGTTTTTAACTGCTGGGTCAAGCTCAGAATTAAAACTCATTGCCTTATATTTTCACAACTCATTGCTTTGTATTTTCACAATAAGAAGTATTCTAATACAATGTTTCTATTATTATTGTCATTTTTCATTTACCTGAAAAGAGCCAATGCTTGAATAAGTCAGAGACAGATATAATCTAAAATAAAACATAGGAATGTGATAATTTAGTATTTGTAAGTCTTAACATTTTAGTGTGAATTGGTACAGCTGGAAGGGGGCACCCATTCTAACGCAGTAATCCAAATTAAAATGAGCTCACCAGCAAACATCTACCCAGGTTTTGCTTGAACATATCTGGTGAAGAGAAGCCTACAACCTCCCTAGATAAATCACAGCTGGGAAAGTAATCAACTTCCTTTATCACAAGATGTAGCAATACTACTAGTATGGATTAGTGTGCAGTAAGATAGTATTCATGATGCTATTTATTATCTTCAGCACTAGGACTAATGTATCACTAAATAAGACATATTTCAGAAAATGAATAGGAAGGTCTTCTTAGGTGCATGTCCTACTTTTGCTTATCAAGATCCACCTGATCTGGAAACAGAATGATATAAAATCTGTTCCTAATGTACTCAGAACAGCACATAGGGAGATTCAAGGCACTCCTTTACATGGAAAATTTCCTTATGGCACAGAATACTTAAAGAGCATACCTATAATCTATGAGTATTTACAAATAGACAACTAGAGCACAGGGAACAGAGAGGCAAATATGAACAAGGAAAAAAGTTACAGTATTGAAAGAAAAGGCAGAGTGTCAGTAATTCAACAATGCATTGATGAAGGTTGTTCTAGCTATTTATGGACGGGTTGGAAAAAGTTATTAAAATTTATTTATTTAGTTTGTCAAACATGTATGAGATAACAGGTATAAGTATAAACATGATTATGAACGCAGGAAATGGATACGAATAAATGGGGACAGTAGGACAGGGGCGGTAGGCACATTGGTGCGCTTATGCACGCCCCTTACAGACCTGTTAGGAATGGGATGAGGTCAACAGTAGACAGTCTAAAGTTAAAGTTATGAGGGTTTGGGGATGCAACAACAGAGTCAGGTAGTGCATTCCAGGCATGTTGCTGATATGTCCCTGAAAAAAGTCCTTGAAAAAGAATTTATTTGGTATAATAAATTTATCTCTGTGTACCAAGAAGTCTCTGTGCTGGGTTTTTTTGGGAGAGAGAGGGGGTTAATTAATATCTTGCTTTTCAACCCATTCATTCTTTCCATGAAAATCAATGCCAGACTTCCCTCTTTTAGCATCTAGCCTGTCTAGATGCTAAAAGAGCATTCATAAAGCCTGTCTGCTGAAAAAAAAATCAAATCTACCATGTTTCTTTTTACGTTGTGTAAATGACAGCAATGACAATCCCAAGTGAGAAATTTAGAAAGTAATTATTATTTAAATTGTAATCATGGACTGAGTTTCTTGATGGGCTGGTCCGAAAGTAGTAGATTACCAGAAATAATTACCTCTGGAGCTGTAATAAGACAATTAGCTTTTGCTTAGCTATTACTGCCTTGGCTTTCAAACCTATAGACTACAAAGAGAAAAAAAAAGTATCAATAGATGGACAAAATAATATTTGTGTTTATTTGGACTAAAACTAGAGTGTTCTATTCATATATTCTAAATAGAAGTTCTTTTTTCTTGTTCCTGATCTTTTATTCAACAGAGGAGAATTTTTCATGGTCTACTTCACCAACAACTCCTTTCTCCAAAATTGTTTCCAGTAGGTAACTAAAGTTCTTTGTAACCTGAGATGGTGCCTGAATATCTAAAGAAAGTCATTTCTCACCATTTTCTTTTTTGTGTTCTACCCAATAGATTGTAAAGCTGGGAAACAGGCTCACCTATTTGCTGTTAATCTTATGTAAAAGCTCTAGATGTTTCTTTAGGTAAAGAGCAAAGTTAAATTATTAAAGTTTTTTAAAAATGACATTTTAACCTCTCATTTGCTTAAGAGAATACTAGGTGGACAGAACATTTAAACAATTTCATTAATTTCAATTCTTAAACAGAATTAGCACCAATTAAAATGTGAATGCCAACGATTTTTGAATAATGAACATGGACATAATGGTGTGCATATTAAAAACCCTGTTAAGGAGGGAGTCATTTAATTCACCTACATGACAATCTCTTATCTGGTTCAGTGAACTATAGCTAAGAATGACACTGTCCTAACTAACAAATCAAGGACAGACTAATAAGAACAGAGAACACTCCATCGTTCCATTATCTATGACAATTATATCAGAGACAAGCTCTTACCTGTCCTTTGCTTCAAAAGCAAATATTGCTTCCTTTGTAAAAGAAAGTACTAAAGGAGGAATTCAAATAGTCAATCCTAAAGTAGTGCCAACAGATTAGCATTATTAGATTTGGCCTTTTATAATATAAAGTTAGAAAACATCCTGGATGGGATTTCCAGGAGAGGTATGGAGAACTGAAGACAGCTCAGTGAAATCAGAACTATCAAATCTTATTGGCAAACACCAAAGCAGTGGTAAGTCTGGATCAGAGGTGGGTTTCAGCAGGTTTTGACCAGTTCTGGAGGACCGGTAGCAGAAATTTTGAGTAGTTCAGAGAACCAGTAGTAAAAATTCTGACTGGCCCCGCCCCCATCTATTCTCTGCCTCCCAAGTCCCAGCTGATCGGGAGGAAATGGGGATTTTACAGTATCCTTCTTCTGCCACGCCACCAACCCACGCCCACCAAGCCATGCCATGCCATGCCCACCAAGCCACACCCACAGAACCGGTAGTAAAAAAATTTTGAAACCCACCACTGGTCTGGATATGGAGAAAACATTTTAAAACAAAGAAACAGCATAAAAACAAACATAAAAACAGAATGTCAGAAATGACAAAAATGTATGGGAACCAAGAAAACTTTTAATCACTTTTACCAATGGCTGAGCACATTACATCAAATTATTACATAGCTGTGATTTTCCTTGGCTGGCTCTTGATCATCTCTATAATAAGTGGCAGGGAAGAAGTAAGTTTTTTCAACCAATTACTTTTACATATTGTAATATTCTATAATTACTTACTGCATTCATGGCAAAGATGGGCTTTATCATTGAGTTTGACAGAAGAGCAGATACTACTACAAAACAAGGAATCTCTATAGTGAAACTGTTATTTTGCAACCTTAAAACTGGAGCTGCAGTGACCATTAATTTCATTCTCACTGGATGTGATTTGGCATAATGCTGTATAACCTGCATAAAGAAATAATTATTTATTATTTATAATAATTATATATAGTCATAGTTATTTGGCCCCAAATCTACATTGCTACGTATCTTTACTCTAAAACAGCATGTGTACGTGATTAATCCCATGCATATTTACCTGGAAATATAATCCCACTGTCCAATGAGATTTATGTTCTGACAAATTTGTTTAGAATTGTTAAGTGTAGTTATTTCAAAGATGGAATTAGCAATACGAGGAGTAATAAAATTCTTTATTTTATTTTTACATATTACTTATACATTATGTTCATGTTGTCATTCAGAATATAAAACATTTCTATGCCTCACATCTGCTCCTGCCATACTATGGTGAGAGCAACGAATTTATAGAGTAGCTACAAAACTGGAAAAACAAAGAATGAGATCTCATATTTGTTTGTATGGGTTGAGATTCTGACCCTAATGGAGCTGGATTAATATTTTCCCTTCATTAGTCAGTCAAATCATTAATTTCCATTAGGAAGAAATGAATAAATATCAACATGAATTTCCTGCTATCACATATCCTTTGATCTTTTCTTGAACACATTTTCTGCATGCTGAAAGAGGCAATCTTTCCTAAAATCACATTTTGTCAAAAGTAAATGCTGAAAACTTTTGGAAATCAATCAATACTTATCCAACATTCATGCATATAAACCCACAATTGTTTAGATTTTTAAAATAGCTCATGCTTACTTGAGGAATGACTCTGCTTAAGGTATCTGTGGTTAAATTAAAGTTTGAGGAATGCTGCAAAATGAAAGAAATATATGAGTTTCCTACTCATCTTTTAAATGAAGGACTACTTAAATCCCTTCCCTTGATCACCATCATTGAGTGTTTTGTGCATAGGAGCAGAAATTTTTATGTCTCTTTCCACATATTTATGTTTCAAATTTATATCCTATCTTTCTTTTGGAAATTTAAGAAAGTCTGCATTGTGCTTTCCACTCCCATCCCTCCCCCAATAATTCTGTGAAATAGTCTAGGTCAAGAAAGACGGTCTTAAGACACCCAGTGAGCAGTGAGAATGATGGTTCTTTGTTGAAATGAAATGAGTGACTGGATGGATGAGAAAGGTGCAAACCTGAGTTTATATTGTGTTGTGTTGCCCCTTTTATAAAAGGTATCTTGAACCTAGGGAGATCAAATAATGTACAAAAATTAGGATGAGACTATTGCTTGTTAGTTATCTATTAACTTGATTTGACATGAAAGTTATTCTGCATGGTGTTAACATGACAGGGAATTGGAATATAGGTTATTGTTTTCCTCATTGCTGCTGTTCATAGTCCTTCAAGTACTCGAGTAAGGGGCTGCAAAAATTCAGATGACTGCTGTATAGTAAAAAAGTGTAGTTGCTAAAAGTTGACACTGACATGATGGCACATAATCAATCAATTACCCAACAATGAAGATGTTCAAGTTTGAAAAACCCACCAAGATTTCTTTCTACCAATAAAAATATGAATATGAACCATATGAACACAAGTTTAAATTACAAATATTTGCAACCTTTTTAATATCCAAATCAGTTGCTTTGCTTGAGTTAGTGGTTACTTTGGCCTGACCCCATATATGACCACATGCATTTTTTCAAGATCACTTAAGACTTTTCATAAGTTCAGACTCATTCACAAAATATGTAATACTACTAATAACGCCGTTGATACTATTGATAATTACCTCTTCCAAAAAAGTTATCTTCGACACTCTAGTAGTGTAATAAGTTAACGTAATAGAGTTTAGCAAAGATTCAGAAATTCCACCAAAGAGCATATAGTTGTTCTTTTCTGGAAGAGTGATGGGAGCTGCCACAAAGGGAGACTCTGTATGATTACTTGAAAAATACACAGAAACCTGAAAAATATATAGAACAGAAATTTACTTATAGAACAAAACAAGTATTCCATGATCACTTAATGGAGGATCAATCTTATTGATTTTAATGGGCTTCATTTAGAAGTATACCTCCTTCTCTAAAAAAAAAATGTCCATGAATGCTCATGCTTTACCATTTTAGCTAAAGATCTCCCATTAGTAAACGAGGTGATTTTGATTGAAAAATGCAACTCCAAAGATCTAACTCCATTTATGCAGCTACATATTTTTATAATGAAGTCACAGGGACAAAAAAGGATGGCTGTTTAAAAACTCCATTGCCCCCTTATTGGCCTCCATTTCTGATATTTGAAAGAAATGCTGCCATTCATTACATTGTATGTTTTCCACTTTATCTCATACAACTTTGGATCAGAAGTGCAGCACAGAGTTCAAGCTGATCCACAGTATTTTGCCAGCACCTAGGACAGGGTCAAAACCTATAGGAGTAATTTAATTTAGAAATACAATATACTTTATGCATCAAGTATTACACTTATTATTGATGGAAAATCGCTTATGCACTTTTTGCTGAAAAAATGGCCTTGTGGTTTATGGATTTGATGCTTAGAAAGGGTAACTTATTGATAAAGGATATTTTGATATAACCTTAGAGCAGGGGTGTCAAACTCAGTTTCATTGAGGGCTGCATCAGGGTTGTGGGGGGGGGGGGGGGGGCTGGGAGAGCACGGCCAGCTCGATGTCACTCATCGAGGCTCCATTTTCGGCCATGACGGCCTCCTGGAGCAGCTTCCCCAGGCTCTGTTTTCGCTGGCAGAGGCCATCGCAGCTGAAAATGGAGCCTGGAGGGCCACATACAGCTCTCCTGAGCTCCGTTTTTGCTGGCAGAGGCATAGCGGGCCGGTCATTCGCTATTTAAAGGGCGGGCCCATGGGCCAGATCTATTTATTTTCTTTGTTTCTTTTCTAATATTTGTACTGTATTGTTTTTATCTTGTTAAAAATTTTCAATAAAAATTATATTAAAAAAGAAAGACAATATTTGCAAATGCTGAATGAACAGTTGCAGTTTCTTGTTTAGCTCTGAGTTTTGATTTATTTCACTTTTGACTTTCAGATTTTTCAAATTTTCTATTCCTATTCTGTGCTTTTCCTATAATTACAATCACCCCTCATGCATGGCTGGGTGTTATGGAGTTTGTAATTACACAGATTAAAATGGTTGAGGAAGGCAGATTTAAGTCCAATTTTATCTGCTTTTAGTTTTTGTTATTAATTTGTGTCCCATCCCAATGAAGGAGGTGCTTGTCTTTATGAAAAAAAATCTAAGAATTAAACAAGTAAGCTAAAATAAAATAAATATAAATTAAATAAATGAAATACAAGAATCAAAATGTTTATCTACATTTCCTAGAAATGGACGAACATTGAATCTGAGAATCTGACAGTTTTATCAATTTAATAATATAATAATAACACAATTATATTTATAAGTTTAATAAATTTATAAAATAAAGAAACAATGTTTTAGATTTCTGAAGATCGCTAGATGATTGTTAAAGCAAAAATAGCCTATAAAACTACAATTTCAGACAGTATAACAACCAATAGGATTACCTTAAAATCCAGATCAACATAGGATTTAAAGACTTCAGGAGGTTTAATAAGTGAATACTTTACTTGGATAAAGGGATTAATCTGGAATACACCTGTAACATTATTAAAAAAGCGAAATTGAGGTCTCTCAAATTTTCTCTTCCTCAAGATCTCAGATACTCAAGATCTCCGATACCCTCCCTTCCACACATCCTGTAAGGCAGGGTAGGGCTGTAAAGCAATGGCCATCTCAATGTCACCCACTAAACCTCACACACAGCAGGAATTTCAAGAATTTTCCTTTCTAAATCCAACAACCTTGCCATTAATCTTACAGATGACTAGCTAATCAAGTGAAGTGTTTTGAAATAACTAGTACGCAAAACTTGAAGCAGATCAGAATGTTAGGAGCATGACAAGTGACATATCATGTTTGCTTGTGAGCAATGCCTGTTGCCTATGAGGCACAGATAATATTGAAATTAACAGATCTCCTGATAACACTTGTACTTTAGCTTCAGAGGGGAAAAAGATTTTATTCTTTGTTTATCCTTCCTAGTCCATGTCCCGAAGATGAGCAGATTGGCCACAGCCGTAAGAAATGAAAACTGCCACGAAATACTTTGATAAAAGATGCAAGATACTAGAAAGAAATTACAAGTCTCTGGTCTGTATTTGCCACTATTCTTGGTTAGTTAGCTATGCCATGGTAGAAAACAGTGTGTCATTAATTTAGCCTACTTTTTGTAATAACCTAATCAAGATGTAGCTCCCCACATAAGGAACAGCAGTAATGTAAATACAAAAATAAAATCATCAACAGTATAAATGAAATAAATCAAACATTCCCATTTAAGAGTGAGAGAAATTCTCCATGCTACTTCTGAGTTTAACACAAGTTTAATATTGTACTTTCACTGCAACAAACCAAATTTAAATTCTGCATTTGGGGTTCTTTACTCTAAAGTAAAGTGATAGGATTTCCTTATAGTGGTAGTACTGGATGCTATAACAGCAGTTTGAAAACTACAGAAATGTAACAAGAAAGAGGCTGAGCAATGTCATGCAATAGGAAGAAACAGTCCCTCTGTTTGCTAATACTGAAATATATTCCCAGTCAAGAGCTATCTTTCCAACAGTTGTTTTCATGAGGTCTTTCATATACTAATAAAGAAAGGTAAGATAGAAAAATGAAATTGTTTTTGGAAAGGAAGCCTTCAACTGATAGAAACATGTAATTAAAAAAATCACTGAGTGTATGGATGACAAATATAATTCCACACTTTTGAAAAATTATCACTTTATATTGAGTACAGAAAGCTGTGATGTTTTAAGCATCCTTCCCTTAACTCAGTATCAGTGTAAGTATCAATATAAATAGTATTTATCAATACAAATAGTATCAGAAAGGCTTTCATTTTCAACTTCACAATTCTTAAATTTTAAAGATTTTGCATATTGCTCAAATGTTAAGTTTACAATACAGTAAGCCCATCAGCAAAATATAGATAGTTTATCACACTCACCTTTTAGTCCTTTAAGTACTTTGGTTTCCTTTTGGATTCTTAATATAACATTTAAACAGAGCTGTGAAAAAATATATATACATACATAAGATTTTTCATTTTTGTCAAGTGTAGGAAAGAGTCGACTAAGAAAAAGAACATTTTGCTCTTTGGAGGCAAATTTATTATCCACTCAAATTTCCCAAACTTACTTGGTTTTCCAATCTTGTACGTATAACCTTTTCCAAACGTTGAACAAAAGCATTATAAAACCACCTGGAGGTTTTAAAAAAAAACCCAGAACATATGTTAATTCCTTAATAATTTAATTTGTTAGATAATAGAAATATGCAGACATATGCAACAGTTGAATGCTCATTGAAAGTTAACTGGTATGAAGCTTAATAATTAATTAAAATACTACCTCATGGCATGCTACTTTTGGGAGAAGTTTTTAAATTATTGCGTTCTCCATTTGGCTTCCACATGTGAAAAACAATATGGAAAACTGAGATATTTATCTGAAGAAGACTGGAATATTCTACACATTACAGGTACATATCTCTATATATTTATTAGGGTGACCTGAGTGAAACATGAGTTTATCAGACTTCAATGTTTATCAGGCTTTGTATCCCACAGACCAAATTCTGCTACAATTTATATTATCTACATAATTTGCAACATCATACAAATAACATACACTGTTCAATATATCAAAAATTCATTAAAAACAGACCCCCATTACTATAGTTCCTTATAATTAAATATGATTAAATAATATATTTCTTGAATTTACCTTCCTTCACTATTAAGCTGGACTTCAATATTACCAGTGGTCAATTGGCAGTTTTCAACAGAGACCAGAAAATCTCCTCTGTTATTTTGTGCCACAATCATATTTGTTGTAATAGACAGTCCTAAAATGGATATTTCAACTTCTCCCTGATAGTCACTACACAGGGAAAAATAAGAAGACACAGCAATAGTTAAACTCAATATCTCATTCGGTTTTAAAAGTATTTTTGTGTTTCAGTTCCTTGTTTAATTTCTAATTTAAATACTGTCTGGATGAAAACAGCTAATCTAATGCTTAGCTTTAATTATTTTCAATTATCAGGTGACAGAATAAATAGCCTTAGATTTACAAAATTGCACTTACATCAGCCAGTTGTTCAAGGTCCAGTGTGTAGTAACTGTCACAGAAATATTTTTAATTAATAGTCCAATACTATTCCCAGGTATCAGGACCACAGAAGAATTATATATTGAAGTAGACATGATTTGAATCCTATAAAGAGAGAAGCTTGCCATATCATATTGCAAGATGAAATGAAGCTTAATCTATGTAATGTAAAGCAGGGCATGTTAACTCAGAATAAAGTTCTTTGATGTGGTTTATGAAATTAAAAGAATAACTAAAATAAAATATGCATTTATAGAAAAAATGATAAACAGCAGCAGTTATACTGAAATAAACAAATACATTTTATATCAAGAAACTGAAGTATATTGTCACAAAATTCAGAAATTAAAGATAAGGTAACACATTCATGGCACAGATAAGCAAATACCTTGATACTGTGTAGTCAACTTTGCCAAAAAAGTATTTTTCAGTGCCAATCTCATCTGGAAATATTCTTGTCCTTAGTTCTTGTTCAAGGAGCTTCATTCCAATTTCTTTTGCTAAAAGGAATACATGGTGTTCAGCTCCATCATTTGTCAGTCTATTATTTACTTGAATTCATAAGCCACCCAATATTCTTCTGAACACGTTTGAAGATAGAAAATTAGGGGCAGATTTCTTAGTAATTACTCTAATTCTTCATATTCTGCTCCTTAATTACTTATCTTGTCAGGAAACAAGGTTATTCTGTCAACTGTGCAGAAAGGGAAGAGAATTTAATGGTAACTTATATCAATGAATAGGAATGCTTATTGTATTTCACTTTCAGACAAGTTAGGATGGATTTGTGTAGATATGCAATCTAATTTCTACTTTACAGACATGAGATTCCTTAAGCATGTTTATAAACAGCATTTTAGGCAGATGTATGCTGCAGGCTCAAATTATTTCAGTTCTCCGAGGTGACCATTGCAATTGCTATGAAGCTTTGAGGAAATCCATAGTATTATATAACAGTTTTGAAGTATATTGAAATATAGTTGTAAAATAAAATAAATAAATTTACCATAATTCAATCCCCTTTGTGTAATTCTTATTCTGACTTCAGGGTTAGCCTCAAGTTGAAAAAGAAATAAACTTAAAAGAATGAAAACCCACCAGAATCTCATCTTCCTTATTCACTTTTTGTTGAGTATTACCTGTTAAAATATATTGTAAGCTTAGTTATTTCATAATCCTAATCCTAATTTCATGTTTGTTAAAAGTAAAATTTAAGGCACAATTAGCCAATAACAATTAAATATTTAGATCTAAAATTATTAGGAACATTTTTACATGAGATTTCAAAAAATCCATTATAAGTCTATCTTACACAATTTGCCATATATTTAACAGCTGTAACATTTTCATCTGTATATTTTTAAAATATCTTCATTGTAAATATTTTTGTAGAAAAAAATAGAATCTTATAGACATCATTTTAATTTCAATACATAGATGCAGGCTTAGTCCTGAAATAAAAGAGATGCTTTATCATGATTATCCCTGATTTCAACAGGTCTCCTTGAAGGAAATTAAAGTCTGGTTACAACACCCTGATGCAAAGCAAATTAAGAACAGAAAACAAAACCCAGGGAATGCATGTAGGATTAAAATCAAGGTACAGGGTAATTGTAATAATCTTTCAAAAGAAAGATTTTCTAATCCTTACCTCTAAATACTCCTGGTGTTCTAAAAGTCAGAAACAGGAATATAAAAAATAACTGATGGAGCAATTATTCTTTTCTGAGCCTCATACTGCAAAATGTGAGAACTGTACATCCTATAAGCAGAAGCAAACACTTCATTACTTTTTTAAAAAAATGTTGGCCTGACTACTTTTGTTTGTGTATGTGGTTTCATTGTTTGTGATACAGGATGCACAATACAGAATCCTGGAACGGTTAGTCAGAAATGAGGACATGCCAGCTAAATGAACTGAAACTGCGTCCAAAGCAGCTACTCAGAAATGCTGAAGCTTAAAAACTTTAAGAAACCTTGTCTCACCTTCAATGTTTCCGATCCTTGAAGGGCTTCATGGCTTGGCACCAGGTTATTTATATGTATTTCATTTAATTTTTAATTTAGCCACTGAAAGTCACGTTTTTAAAAATAATAATTTTTATTGCAGTTTAAAAAGATAAAGAATACAAATAAAGAGAAATAGAAAAAAGAAACAATGAAAATTGCAGAGAAGAAAAGACTATCATCTAAATATGTATGTTTCTCCAGTTTCAGAATGATAGTTAGAAGGGAATCAAGGCAAATGAATGTGTGTCTACTTCAGTGTGATTACCATTGGGACTTACTCCCACATAAGTGTGCATCAGATTGCCAATTAAACCATCTTGGATTCTCTCGATATTTTGTTTTTGCTAAAATCAGAATAAAATAAAAAGTGTGCCAACTCACAGAGATATTTTAATGGTCAGCAGCAAAATGCTACATGTTCTAATTAATCATACTACTTTTATTTAGTGTATTTGATTTGCTAGTTATTGTTTGAACTTCACACTGTGGTCAGTGCCAAGTCTGTCTGATGGGAAAGACAAATATCCCGAGCGTTTCACATGTATTCAATTCTCTTTTAGAATGGCAAAGGAACATTGTGTGTTATTTTCAGCAATCCCATAAGGCAGGAGACTATTCCAGCCCTACCACCCGAAGAGGATGTTCATTTAATCATTTTCACCGGGAAAGAAAAAATATAGTCCGATATTGAACTGTATGGTAATGAACTGGAAATGTAGTAAAATCTAGGATGCTGCATAGGTACAAGTACAAATGTTCAATTAAGATTGTTTGATAGGTAAACAATTTATAGACACAGTAGTACCTTTGATAAATAGTAATTAAGTAATAAAATGAATCCAAGATTGAACTATGCTATTAATGTTAATTGTGATACATGTTACATGTTTTCAGATATTCAGACCTTCACTATTTCGCAACTTAACAATAACTCCATAAACATGTCAATGATTCACACATTGCATTACAATTAGTTAAACATGGTTTATTGAATAAACTGTAATCATGAGATAAAATACAAACCATGGTTTAAAAATTATAATTATAATGCTTCACATAATGAATAATAGTATATAATTTTTCTGGATTAAGAGCCAGTTGTTATACTTGGCATATTATACTATATTATATATTATACTTGGCACAATATTTAAACCTATTCCCATTTAATATAAAAGAAATGTATGTATTTCCATTTGTGTGTGTTTGAATATATGTATGTATGTAAAGTGCTGGTGAGTAGGAGCATATGCCAAGCTATCTTGGGCTTGGAAGCCTAGAAGCTCAGACTGTTAGACCTAGTTAGTTTATGGATGGGAGACCACCAGAACCTCCCCCCTCCAGGCTAAATTGTGAAGTGGAAAAAGTAACTTGAGATAAACTTTCATGTTGCTCCCATTAGTCCCATTAGAAGTGTTCACAAAGGTACCAGCAACTGAGATTATTTGAACGAGATTCTTCCTTTCTTAACAACATGAATCAGTCCATACTAGAGCTGCCATGTTGTCATCTTGTTGTAAAGCAAGACCCTGCCATCATAAATCACAAAAAAAACCAGACCTCCACATCCTGTTTTGTGCAGCCTGACGACGCCCCATAACCAGATGCTGTGGACAAGGATGGATACGGATGGATAAGGAGTCCTCTTTAGTCTATGGAGATGCTCAGTCATCCAGGTCATGGCTGTCCCAAAGGTGCTTTTTCAAGAGGCAACTGGACTTTCTGTTTTTTTTCCCTTGAAGACGTTTCGCTTCTCATCCAAGAAGCTTCTTCAATTTCTTCAGTCCAGAACTGAAGAAGCTTTTTGGATGAGAAGCAAAACGTCTTCAAGGAAAAAAAACAACAACAGAAAGTCCGGTCCCAAAAGTGCTTTTTCAAGAGGCAACTGGACTTTCTGGTTTTTTTTTTCCCCCTTGAAGACGTTTCACTTCTCATCCAAGAAGCTTCTTCAGCTCTGCACTGAAGAAACTGAAGAAGCTTCTTGGATGAGAAGCGAAACGTCTTCAAAGAAAACCCAGAAAGTCCAGTTGCCTCTTGAAAAAGCACCTTTGGGAGTGCTCTTTACATAGGACAAGCCCTTTGCTACCAGAGAAGCGCCAGATGAGAAGAACGCGGATGCCATCAACGGAAGACCAACTTCGGTAGAGAACAAGATGATAAAAGGCGAGCACCCAATTACCAACGCTCAACGATTCGTTGGCGTGGGGTGGGGGGGAAGGAGGCGGTTGCGTGGAAACGACGCACCCGCTGAGAGGGGTGGGGCAAGCCGAAGGGCGGAACTACGTCATCGCAAGGTCGCCGGGGTCAAGGAGGCGGTTCCTCGGCAGCCCAAACCCACAACAAACAACAACGACGGTGGTGGTGGCGTCGCCTCTCTGTGCCGCCACCTTCGCGAAGGGGCCTCTGCGGCGCAGCGGGGGGTGGAGGGAGGGGGGGGGAGCGCAGGGAGCTTAGGCGGCGCGAGCGCAGTTGGCCGCCATGAAGCTCCGCGTACGGCTGCAGGGGCGGACGGCTCCGTTGGAGTTGGCGGAGGCGGAGCCACGGCTGGGGGATTTGCGTGCGCACCTTGGCCAAACCGTCTTGCCCGCTTGGGGTTACAGGTATGGGCGAGCGGAGCTGCCGGGTAATGAGGGGGTGAGGTGAGGTAGTCGACGAGAGTGATGGGAAGCCGGGCTTCCCTATTCTAGGAAATGGAGACGGTTTCCATTTCTAGGAGAGCCGGAGGGATGGACCAGAGTCGGAGAAGACTTGTTGGAAGACAATAAACCGTTTTATAGCTTTTATGGGGAGAAAACTTTCGAGTCCTTCGAAATGCTTCATTTTGATAGTGACAGTGAATGGAACAGACGAATAAATAATTTGGGGATCCAAAGGATAAATGTCATTTTTTTCTTTTTGGGGTCTGGCACAAAATAAGAATGAGGGAAATATTAAGAGGAAAGTGTCTTTGCCCTTCTTTTCCCATGCTGGCTGGAGAATTCTGGGAGTTGAAGTCCACAAGTCTTAAAGCGGCCAAGTTTGAAGACCTCTGCTCTTGACTAAAACTTTGTGTTTATGTCTTAAGAAGATTGGTTCCCAAGATGGATTGCTTTAAATTAAAAACTTAACTGTTGGCAACTAGTGGGGATGAGGGAAAGCATCTCAAGGAACGGGATGGTTTTACCTATTTTCTGTATTGCTGCCAAGAAAATTACACATGGATGGGTTTATGGAGTTATCCAGAAGTCAGGCATGGCTTAAAGGAGACGTTATTGTTACAATGTACAGCATTGAAGTGAATCAAATTTTAGGATGTTTGGTTTATTATTCAATATTATTAATATTGCAGTATTGTTGGCATTTGTAGGATTATAAATTATGTGGAATGTATGTGGAGTCGGTCCCATCCTTCACACACAATTTCTGTGCAGAGGAAAACATATGACAGTTTTCTAAAAAATAAATAAAAAAAAATCTTATGCATTTTAGGATGGAAATGGTTTGGTCAGTGTTTCAATGCATTGACCAAAGCAAAGCAAAACAAAACAGAAATAAATATTTACATACCAGGCAATGTTCAGAATCAGGATTTGTGAAAAAGTGGGGAATCTATCACCTGAATAGTTTCTTCAGTGATTATATTTCCCAATCTTTAGGCATTTCTTTATGTGTTGAAGTCTTTTGAATTTTTGGTAAAACAGTTTTGCAGGATCATATTGTCTAAACAATGTAGCAAGTTAGACTAGAACTGATTCATTTTCTCCCTCCCTCCACCTAATGCCAAGTCATTATCTTTCAGGTTTGCCTACTTTTCAAAATTGTAAATCTAAAGTACATAGTTTATTGGAAAGAAAAAAATCATGTTTGGCAAATACTGTGGGGAGTCTGCACAGCTTTTGATCTGGTTACTGAATATCTTCCTTTATGTAGAGCAAATTTAATTTCAAAACATAGCAAACCTCTTAATTCATGTGGCTTGTTGGATATTTTAGAAATGTTTTCATTGAATGATGGATTCCTGGATTCCTAACTTTTCAGATAAACTAATTTATTGGAGAATTAAATAACTGAGTCAATATACTAAGAAACAAATCTTATTTTCCCAAGTAAGCTGTACATGAGATTGTATTTTAGTGAACTAGTTGATCTATAATCCTGAATCCAGTCTTGCTAGTCATAGGTATATTCATGAAAGTATTGAGATTATGTTGTGATAGATAGAATCAGACTTTTTCTGTCCTGTTGATGAGGGATACTGTAAGTGAAAGATGATAGTATTTTCCTTGTGAAACTGAAAGTCAGAGTAAGATTACATATTCAGTTTCGTTTATGGGCTACAGTTATAATAGAAACTGATAGTTATTTCACAGAAATGATGTGATTTATTAAAATATTGGTAGTACACATTCCTCTAATTCTTGTCACAGTGGCTTATTTTATTCAGTGTAATATGGATATCCTCTCTAGGGTGGCTTTTACACACACACACACACACACACACACACACACACACACACAACACACAACAGCTTGAACCATAACATCAAACAGTACAAAAACAATGTGATAGAGGTTCAGCCAATAAATTACACCAACATTAATCCCAGGCCTGGGAATAGAGCCAGGTTTTAAGGGTTTTCTGGAATCCCAGAAGAATGAATGCTAGGGTTTCATAGCTGAGACTTATAGTGGTAGGGTTTGGTATGCTAGAGATTTGGGATTGATTTGCCTTGAGTTTACAGTGAAAAAAGTTATTATTTTAAAAATTAAATATTGCTGTTTTCCTCAGACATGCCCTGTAAAATAATAGTCACTGGAAAAATTATGTATAAAAACTGATTTTGTGATTGTTGAATTTGAAAATATCTTTTGAGCTCAAAAGTGAGTTGCAAATGTTGTAAGGTGAAATGCACCATTTAGGTTTTGTGGAGATGGACATTGTGTTTGATTGTGAAAAATTTCCCTTGGTACCTATTAAATTTTTTTTTAATTACATGCAAAACTTAAAATAATACTTTTGAAATGCAAATCATAAGTTAGATACTATTTAGCTATTGCAATGCAGGCAAATTCAAGAGTCTTGATAATATATTTTTATTTAGTAAGACTGAAAGCATTCTTTTAGAAATGTGGCCTTCCTCTTTAGCATTCTGCTACTAATAATTTAAATGCTAATACTACAAATAGTACTTTTAAATATGATTAGACTTACATTTATAAAAAAAGTTTATTCCTGGCATGTAAACATGTATAATAAATGCAGGTGAAAATGAATCAGTTTGAGACTTGTTTTAATGGCTATACTTATTGGTTGCATTATAGTAAATTGTGGAATTAGGTAATTAAGGACATCTTTTAGTCTGCAGTTAGTGTGTGTTCCTCAATACAAAATGTGTGCTTAATGTTGTTTCCCTGCAGTTCTGACATCAAGTTTGCGATAACATTGAACAACAAAGACTCCCTTACTGGAGATGAGGAAACCCTAGCATCATTTGGGATTGTTTCAGGAGACTTGATATGTTTGATATTGGAAGATATTGAGACAGAATTAAGAGTATTTCCAACTCTCACCTCATCCCTGCAACCACAACAGAATAATCATGAACCATCCACTTCAGCCATTTGTCACAACCAATCTAAAATTCTAGATAGCGAAAGACACAATGGACATTTACCAGACGATAAAGTTCAAGATGATATTCAGATGAATACAGACAATATGGTAAGTCCATAAGAAATGAAGACTTTCATTGTCCCTTGTAGGGAAAATACCGAATAGGGAAAATACTGAGATACTGCTTCCATTATTTTTAGATAAACCAGCTTTTTTTCACAGAAACCCTTTGCTCTTATCATTTTAAATATAATTTTAAATATATTTTTTAATGCTCTCTTGTTTCTGCTGCTATCCTTTCAAGGCAGAATCCAGCCAAGCATTTGCTTCAGAAGCTGTATCTGATGACTTTGACTTCCAAGAAGCTGCAGGTTCTTATCCTTCAGAGCCAATGCTTTGCTCTGAAGCTACGGATGGACAAGTACCACACTCGCTTCAGACCCTGTACCATTCTGCAGAATGTACCAGTGCCAATGATGCCTTGATAGTTTTGATCCATCTTATCATGATGGAGACAGGATATATACCTCAAGTAAGTAAATTTTTACAAAGGATGTCTGAATGTGAATACTATGCATCCCATCAGATTTGGTTGAATTTCATTTCTCATCATTTCTCATCATTTTCATCATTGACATAGATCTTAGGCCAGTAATAAGATAATGTTGGCTTCTAGTAAGTCATGATTTGCTGATAACACATAGTATTGCTCATGAATATATTGGTTGTCACAATCCTGAATATTATGGCCACACACTGTTCTGCATTAGTCATAATTTGTACTGCATACTCATTGAGCAAAACACAGTTAATGCACAACATTACCTAGTGAAAGAAATGTGAAAACCAGAACTGCATATAGTATTCATAGGTGTTGTTTTACAAAATAAATTTCTATTGTGAATGTTGAATATTAAAATAAATGCGGGATTCCAATTAAATAAACGTATCTGATTGTCCCTTTTTAATGAGCTTTAGCATGGAAGCTCTTTAGGTAAATTCTTGTCTTGCAAACATGCCTTTAGCCTATGGAAGATGAATAAAATAATACAAAATAGCTTTCTCCTTTCTAATATGTAATGTGTGTCACATTAAAAATAATTAGACTAATTAGAACTAGGGATAGTAAATATGAGTTATCAAAGGTTTATCAAGCTTCCCAGTGCAGCCATATAAGTAGAATTTCGGTAAATTCTGAATTTAATATTTTAATCTCAGTACTTTTTTTTGGCAAATATTTGTTGCTTTGAGTTTGATTCATGACATTTCGATTTAGCCTCTTCATTATCAACAGCATAATTTTAGATGATGATCTTAATGAAAACTAGTTATCAAATTGCATAAATATATAATTAATAATAAGGTATAAGACTATGCCAATGATTGGGACTGCTTTTCCTCTGGGCTGGGCTGCAAAAGATGCACAGATGACCTGTGAAAGTTCTCAAAGGAGGTGAACACTGACTTTTGCCCAAAAGAAAGTGACTTCTAGCCTGTTAACATTACAGAGGCACAGAAGCAGGGACCTTAATTTCAGGATGAATGGGGCTTTGTTTGATATTCGGTGGCCATTTCTGTAATGGCTTTAGTAACTTGATAACAATAAAATTACTGATTAGAATTGTGGTTCTCTAGAAGGCTTTCTTGTAATTTCTTGCTGACTAACTGAGAAAGGTTTGACAGTGACTACTTACATGCTTTAGTTGCACTGTTACCATAATCAAAATTCCCCATCCCCTATGATTTTAGTAGTGCTATTGCAAACACATAACAAATCTGTAGTCAAGTTTTAGTTGCCTTGTTAAATTCCTCTTTTATTATTCATAGGGAACACAGTCAAAGGCAACAAGAATGCCTGACAAATGGCGAAACAGAGGTGTTTATAAGCTACAGTATGCCCATCCCCTCTGTGAAAATGGCATTGCTGCCCTTACTTGTGTGCCTTTGGGAGACCTTATTGTTATCAATGGTAGGTATATTCTGATATTTATTTGATTGAAGGCTAGCATTTGTTATTCTTTGTCTTCCATACTATGTAACTGCTAACAAACTTGAAAGACTTAAGAATCAGCTGACTCTTATGTCATATGTGATGTCAGCTTTTAGGCATTACTAAATATGACAAAATGCATTGAGAAGTGCTATGAAGTGAGATAGATTATCCTCCTGAACTGTATTAAAAAAGAAATGGCAGTCTTTTATATTTTGCAACTTTACTTTCATGTCCATCTCTGAAGAATCAGCAATAAAAATGTAAACTTGGACACATAAACTCTAGAAAAAAGCTTTCTTAACTGATTTTGCAAAAGTTTCAATACAACTTGTGCCAAGATTGATGTTTTCTTTCTTCCAATGTTTCAACCACCTATCATTATCTTTGTCTTGGAGGAAATGTGATATTTATTTTCTTCCAACTGAATGCAACCAAATGTGCACGGAATTTACATTGTTTATCAGCCACTTAATCATCTTCCTCCAACCTTTTTATTGACTTCCCAGCACATCCTCCCTGTTTCTCAAATCTTGCCACCAGCTCTCCCTGCAGTCCTTCCCCAACCATGGCTGATTGATTCATGTCCATGCCCACAGTCTTCCAAATCTCTCTTCCTGATTTGCTGCATCCAATTGGCTCCAGCTCTTCCTCTGAGCAACAAATTGAGATCCGATAGTGACCAGTCTAGGTTCCTGCTTCATTTCCAACCAGCCTTCAGTCCTTCATGGATCTCAACTCCCATTAATTAATTCTCCTACTTTCAGTGCTTATTTAAAACACTTATAAAGAATTCAGGTGTTTATTTAAAACAGACAATGGTAAAATAATAATGATAACTAGATAATTCTATGACTCAACGAATCTTTACACCAGAGATATTTTCATATCCAAAGATAAACAGAAAGAAAAATAGAATGACATCTGTCAGGCAAAAAAGCTACTTATTGCTATCTTGCCCATTGGTGTTTCTTGTGGAAAGTGTAATCAACAATCAAGTGTCTAGCTGACTGCAGCAGCACTGAACTGGCCACAACTTAGGCAAATTTCAATTTCATGAATCATGGGTCCTGAATTTTGGTTAGTTAGGCCATTTGAAGTATGTTGATTGAAAAAATAGTTTTGCCCAATTGAAGGTTACAAGTAATCAGACATGAAGCCTTTAGTAGTATATTGAAACTAATTTGCTTAAAAAGAAGGATTAGGCTGTAAAACAGATACTGAGAGACAGGGCTTCAAAAGAGATAGAAGAGTGGGCAGTCTCATTTGAGATGTGTTTAAGGTCTCAGAAAAGTCCCTTTTGAAGGAAGTGAGGGAGACTCCATGAGCACAGACAAAATTAAACTATTCACTCTATTACACTTAGTAATCCAAGCTGGTTAGATTCCTTCATATATCCTGGAATATTATTCCACACAGCCTCCAAGGCGAAAGAAGGGGGTTGTCATATTTTTTATTGTGTTTTCATAGCACACACTGCTATTGGTCAAATTTATTCTGTTGAGTTTCCCCAGGAAGTTCAGAATCATCAGTAATGTTTTTGTTAAGCTCTTATAGTGTCTTTTTCTATTTTTAGCAATGCTGAAGATTGACATTGACATCAAAAGTGTAAAGAGACTACAGCTTCTGCCAGCAACATTTATCTGCTTTGAAGACTCAGGTATATGAATCTGAATTTTGGAGAACAGCTAGAAGCTAATAGATGATTAATGCCACAGTACTTTTAATCATTAAGTGAGCAAATTAGAAGATGAAGTCGAATGCAGTAGGTGCATCATTTTTAAGTTGCATCATTGAACATTTAAAATTTATTCAAATAACTACAAAGACCTCATGAACTCCTGCCAGGCTTTGAGTTCTGCAGCAATGTATTTTATGAAAACAAAACATTCCAAACAATGAAAAAATATATTGCAAGGCACAGATTTTCTCTTCAGGCAGAAGAAAATACTTATACATTATAGACAATTGCAGTGGGTCTAGAGCTGTGATAGTGAACCTATGGCATGTGTGCCACAGGTGGTGCGCATCACCCTCTCTGTGGGCACGTGAGCCATTGCCCCAGCTCTGCTGTGCATGTGTGCGTGCCTTAGCTGCACATGCACGGGGTTGGGGCGCATGTGGGGGGATGCACGCGCATGCATGGGGAATGGGATGCGTGCAGGTGTGGGCATATGTGGGGTGCGCACATGCGTGGGGGCGGGGCGCATGCAAGAGGTGCCACATGCGCATGGGGCCCGCACATGCATTGCATTTTTGGGGTTTGGGCGCACTTTGGGCACTCGGTCCTGAAAAGGTTAGACATCACTGTTCTAGAGAATCTGCTACAGGTGAAAAAGTGTGTGGCTGACAAAAATATTCTAAAAAATATTATTTTATTATGATACATTCTTCTTTTTACCCCATAACGATAAAAACATGTTTAAAGAAAACCATGATAAAGCCAGAAAATTTGTATACCAATTTAAGATAAAATAGCTCTTTAAAAAGATAATTTAAAATATATGTGGGAAATGAATAAGCAAATGTAGAATGGCAGATTAGTTGCGTTTCCATTCCCTCCTCCTCTCTATTTACCAAGAAGACTCTACTTTTATTTGGCCATTAAGAGAGAAATAAACTAGTTTATTAAATCTCATTTTAACTTTAGGTTATTAAGCAGTTGTCTGGAGTTTCTTTTAAACCACGTTTCAATCTGGTGAACTCCACTCCAATTCTGGTTTATTCTCCCTCTTGGCCACAGCAGGAGGAGATACTGATGCTTGAATTGGGAACTTTATCTTGATACCTTCGGCTTGTGCAGCTAATCTAGGTTAGAGCTATATCCAAACTTGCCCAAATGTGTTTTCTTTCATTTCTGCATAGTAACCTGTAGGAAATCATGGATATACTGTGTTCAAGGGGAGGTTTTGAGTTAGATTCTAGCACAGGCTTCATTTGAGGCAACCTTCCATTTTCAGCTTTTCCCCATTTACATTTCTAAGGCTGTATCTTTAAAAAAAAGTTTACACAATCTTTCCTTTGTAAATCACTTGCTTGTTTATACAGTATTAAGTTAATGGTGTAATGGCAGATAATGCCTCACTAGGGGGACCCATTGTGTTGAAAATTTTAAGAAACTCTAAAGGGGGCTATAGTTTCCCAGCTCAAAAAGTGAAATAATGAAACAGCCATAGATGTTAATTATTGAAATACCTTTTATAGTTGATATAATGTGGTTTCTTCTCTTCTTCCTCTTTAAAAACATTTTTAAAAACTTTCCATAGATTCTCTGTAGTATTGTTTAACCATGCTAATAGGTCCATCAAATTCATCAGTCCATGCAGGACTTGCTATTTGTTGTAAATCAAATTGTTACAGCATATTGCCAGTCTGAATGAGAGAACCAGTTGTTTTCCATTTTACTGCTTGGTGATTTATTCTTAGAGGCAAATCATTAGAATAGAATATACTAAGCAAGAGGGATGCGGTGGCTCAGTGGCTTGTCGATCGAAAGATTGGCAGTTCAGCAGTTCGAATCCCTAGTGCCACGTAATGGGGTGAGCTCCCGTTATTTGTCCCAGCTTCTGCCAACCTAGCAGTTCGAAAGCATGTAAAAAATGCAAGTAGAAAAATAGGGACCACTTTTGATGGGAAGGTAATAGCACTCCGTGCGCCTTTGGCATTTAGTCATGGCGGCCACATGACCATGGAGACATCTTCGGACAGCGCTGGCTCTTTGGCTTTGAAACGGAGATGAGCACTGCTCCCTAGAGTCTAGCACATGTGTGAGGGGAACCTTTACCTTTACCTATACTGAGCAAATGATACTTATTTTTAATTTTTAATTTTTCCTAAAGGAAATGTTGCAGGCGTGTATAAGGACCTTCAGAAGCTCTCTTGTCTCTTTAAAGATCGACTGGTATACCCTCTTCTGGCTGCTACTCGGCAAGGTAAGCACATCATGGAAGGAGTCTTATAAATCTTTTTTTAAATTATTTTTATTATTATTATTTTTTTAATTTGATTTATATGCCGCCCTTCTCCGGAGACTCAGGGCAGCTTACAATGCGTTAAGCAATAGCCTTCATACTTTTGTATATTTATACAAAGTCAGCTTATTGCCCCCACAAACTGGGTCCTCAATTTACCTACCTTAGAAAGGATGGAAGGCTGAGTCAATCTTGAGCCTGGTGAGATTCGAACTTACAGTAATTGCAGACAGCTGGTGTTAACCACAATGCTTTTAGTCTGCTGAGCCACCAGGCCCATTTTTGTAGAATATTTATTATGGAACAGGTAAAACCACCGAGAATGATGAGTGGAGTATGTTTGTAGCCCCATGTGCTTATTAGCACAAGACATGGAGAAACAGCTCCCCCTCCCAACTCATTTAGCAGGAATGTTTTGAGAGTATAACCAATATTTTCTCAGTATGATTCTGGATTTCCTTCACTTATTAAATATGATCATGTTTGGTTCGAACTGTGTTAAGAGTTGAGATGACTCTACATATTGAGCTCTGCTGCTGACTAGACTAATGTTTCTCAACCTTAGCAAGTAAGATGTGTGGGTTTCAACTCTAGAAGCTGAAGCAGGGAGCTGAAGTCCACGTATCTTAAAGTTGCCAAGTTTGAAAAACAGTGGTGTAGACCAGGGGTGTCAAACTCAAGGCCTGGGGGGCCGGCCTGGAAATAGTAAAGGACATGCCCGTGTTGCTTCCGGCCAGATGTGGGTGGTGGTGCGGGGGGGCGGGGCAGATGCCATTTGCAGCACTCTGCTGGCCAAAACGGGGTGCGGGGCGGCTGTGTGCTGCCAGCCAAAACGGGGCGTGGGGTGACTGTGTGCTGCCAGCCAAAATGGGGCACGGGGGGGGGGGGTGGGCTGTGCATGATCCCCCTTGCGCCCCATTTTCGACATGAATGGCCTCCAACATTCTGCCGGCCAAAACAGGGTACGGGGGCCTGCGCGCGCCCCCGTGCCCCGTTCTGGCCGGCAGAATGCTTCAGGCCATACAGGCTGAAAACAGGGTGTGGGGGAGCCATGCTTGTCCCCCATGTCCTGTTTTGGCCGGCAGGGTGGTGCAGGAGTCGTCCGTCCCATCCCCCTCCGCCTGGTCAGCCGGCCAATGGATGACAATTACAATGCTGATCCTGCCCTTGAAGAAATCCAGTTTGACACCCCTGGTCTAGACCACCAAGTGTACTGTCTGAAGCTCATTTGTGCAAACAAGTTGCCACTCTCTGTTTAGGCTCTGATGCCAAGTAACCAGGATGGGTCCCAACTCAGAAAGATTCTGTCCCCAGCACTAGATGGGTACTCAGCTTCTAAGCCATAATTCTTTTGCTATTTATAAATTAGACACTTCCTTCTGCTTCTCATCCTATCATGACTGCAGCTGTGACTTGCAAGTTGAACAAGTACCAAATTCTAATTTGAGAAATGTTATAAAATAGATTAAAATCTGTAAGTGCCTTTTGAAACAATTCTTGTTTCAATTAATAGGCAAAACTCTATTGTAGTTGAGCCAGCCGAAGAGGCTATTTCCTATGTGGCTTGACAACATAGTAAAGCAATAATATATTAACTTTGATCTGAATAGGAGTGTTTTTTGTTTTTTTTTCTTTTACTAGGCTGAAGAAAAACTAGATGATATTGCATACTGATCTCATTGTGTAGCTGCCAGAGGATTTTGGCTCTAATCAGGAGAGTGAAACCTTTCATTGTTGAAAGTCTAATGTCACTTCTCCCTAAATAAGTGCCTTCTAAATCTATCAGGGAGGGTGCTTTAGAGTTTTATTTCAGGGACTATTGAGTATTTGGTTAGTAGCAATCATACCTCTGGTAACATTGTCTTTTTAGTTCCATTTGGTCATATGTTTCATTAGAAATACAGTGGTGCTTAAAATTAATGAACTCTTTTGAAGTTTCAGTATTTCTGTATAATTTTTCTGATGTTATCTGTTTTCAATAGAAGTCCTAAAAGTAGGTAAAGAGAACCCAGTTAAACAAATGATCTTAATATTATGTCATTTTTTATGTCTTTGATAAATGCATGATTAAATTCAAAGCACTTTACACAAAAATAGGCTTTTTCTTTAGCCACATCTTATCAACATGCTTTGTTTCAAGCAGTATGTAATTATAATTATGAAATGGATAAGAAGTTAAAACTGTTGGAATGTTGTAATAATGTAGTTCTTCTCCTTTTAGCATTGAATCTACCAGATGTGTTTGGCCTGGTGGTTCTTCCATTGGAGCTGAAACTCCGAATCTTCCGGCTCTTGGACTTTCGCTCATTAATTTCTTTGTCTGCTGTTTGTCATGATCTTCATGCTGCTTCAACTGATCAGTTATTGTGGAGGTTCATATACTTGCGAGATTTTAGAGGTAATTGTTCATAAAACTTTTTTTCTAATGATATGACGCTGAATGAGAGGCTTGTTGTCAGCTTTGCAAGTTAATTTGCCAGGGTTCTTTGTAAGGAATTACATCTCTATGAAGCTGTTTGGACATTGTGTCCAATAAATGGTTATTGTCTTGGAGCAGTCATGCAATCAATACAAGTTACCTAATGTGTTGTCTACATCATTATAGAATTGCTGTAGCAAGCTGATTTGTATCTTACATGTTTATGCAGATCCGGTTGCCAGATCTCGAGACACGGATTGGAAAGAAGTAAGTGGATGTCATGATATATTTTTTTGTTTTGATTTGTTTTTCTAAGAATATATGCAGTCTGAATAACCAAGTTACATTCTCAGCTAATTGAAACCTCCAGGCATCATAGGAAGCAAACTGTACTTTAACAATCACACTGGAAGAGCAGATGAACATTATTATTCGAATGGGTGCCAGCCTGCACTGCTTTTTTCAAGCTGTTGTCTAAAATCCCCTACCGATTGAAAAATTGCATGAAATAAAAAAATTATCAAGATGCAGAAGACATGGAGATAGTTGTGCTAATAAATTTGGTTCATATATTCTAAATATCCAAGAGTATACTAGCAAACCTTTATAACAACGAATGCTATGAAATGTTAAGCTAAATTTTATTTTCCTCCTTTCTACAGCTGTACAAGAAAAAATTGAAGCAGAAGAAAGACGCACTGAAGTGGAGGCACACAATGTTTCTGCCCCCTCCTCCCCTCCCTGTGCCATTTCATCCCAGTCCATTGTATCCCAATCCTTTTTGTCCTAATCCACTTTATCCCCCCAATATCATTGGTGGTGAATTTGATGAGAGGCCAGCAGTCCCTTCCATTGGTGATCCAATAAGCTCCCTCTTTCCTGGCCCTGCTGAGCTTCCAAGTCTTCCTATTGCCCCACACTTAGATCCATTCTCTACTTTACCATATTTCGATCCTTTTGTGTCATTTCCAGAACCCAATCCAACTCTCCCAGGAAGAGGCAATCGGAGCCGCCCAATTGATAGTCGCCGTGCATTCATATGAGAACTCTTTCAGCCTTATTGATAAAGTTTTAAACCTCTCTTTGTGGGCTTACTTTAAAACTGTACAGCTTCAGAGCTATGATGTCTACTGTTTTAAAATTATGACAGTGCATAAGTACTATAGCATCTTGATTCCATAGACTTGGGCCCAACAATTCAGTGCAAACAATTTTTCTTGCCTCCCTTGGAAACGCAGATCCCTTTTGCAAGAATATTGTGGGACATTATTCTTTTCATTTACAGTGGCAGGCTCCTTCTTAGAAAGTAAAAGGAGGTTTGCTTTTGTTGCATCAGATAAAAAGCACCTTAAAATATAAACATCTAAGTTGGTCTGGGTTGTTTTAATTTTTAAATCTGTCATTTAAACATTTCTGCTATGTTCTTTTCTTCCAGTAATTAGTCTGACTAAATGCTTTTTCCATGAAAAGATTTTCTGTTCTATGCAATATCTGGCACTCGGAAGGCTGCAAAAACCACCTGATTTGATTGTTCTTCAGACACTTTATATATTTTCTTTATTACTTGAAAAGCAATGTTGGTATTGGGGATTTCAAAGCACAAAGAATATTGAGTTTAAATGATTTTTTTACATATGAGAGAATAAGACATTGAACTGTTCACCTTACAAACAGTTGAATAATAACATGCTACACAGTATAACCCAGAAGATGAGAATGCTGAATGCCAGAAGCTCTGGCAAAAAGTTGCTGCCTTTCTATTTCAATTTTTTTCTATTAAATATCAACAGAAAGTATCCCAAGTACTTTATGAAATAAAATGACAGGGCCATCTGTACATTTAAAGAATTGTGTAATTGATGGGACTAATGAGCGTGATAATTGTTTCTAACATTTTTCAGTCAACTAAATTGGGTAAACATTCCTAGTTATTTTTAAATGTATAATTACAAGATGTGCAATTCTTAGGGACATAACTGTGTCTAGTTGATCAGTTGATAAAGAGATATATGTCTTATTACAAGGTAATCTTCTAAGGTTGAGCACAAATAATATAACCAGGGATGACGGTCCATTGATGGCTTCTCAAGGGAAAATGTATTATCTTTGTTATTCCTCCGAATTTTTCTCTGTATAGTATTTTCAGCCTTATTAACAAAACAAAAAGAATCACTTAAGTGCACTGATTTTGATGTGTCATTTTTCTTATCCTAAATTTCAATTTGAGAGATTGAACACAATACTAAATTGTGAGAATTCAATAGGTAGATGTTACGTCCCACAGCTCAAATTCTAAATTCTTTAGTTATACATTAATGAGCTCACATATTAAGTGCCTAAATTAAAGATGTGATTGTACTATATTTAGAATACATAGTACTTTATAGGTGGCGTATTATAAAGACATGTTTATTTACTATCACAAGGAGTGCTCAGTATTTGTGACCACTGATTAATTGTTCTAACAGTCTGGAAATTTCTTAGTTCCCTCCTTGATTAGTTTTCATCCATTGCTTCTTGTCCTTGCTTTGGAGAATAAGTTGACCCCCTCTTCTTTGTGACAGCCCCTTAGATATTGGAACACTGCTATCATGTCACCAACAGATCAACAGTTAATACTTAAGTGCTAGTTTATAATACACTAAAGTGCTGTAATCAACCTTGTTAGAACTCAAACATGCATAAATCAGTCCTAAAATTGCTTGATTCTTAACCACGCAATTTTGCTTTCTTACTAAACAATTGGTTCTTTGTAGTTGTATTTCTAATACTTGTACTGTGGTGGTATTTTTCTACTTAGGATGCATACTGCTCAGAATATTGCAGATGATAAAGACCTTTGTTCCAACAACTGTACAACATTGGTATAATTAGCTCTTTGGCTTGCAAAATAGGCAAAATGCTTATGAGAGGAATTATTTAACATTTCTGTAATATTCCAGTGCAAAATGGACTAGTAATTGTTCTATCCTTATTGAGGTAGGTTAAACTTGAGAGGAGAATTGAAGATGAAATTTAGTGGCTCTAGGAATTACATTAATTTATGTGCTGGTGATGGGAAACTGCACTAGCATATTCTATCAGAATTTTCCTATTGCACTCTGAAGTCATTGAACAGTTGGCTGTACAGTGCCATCCTACAGGATGCATTCAGAGAAGTAAGTCATACTGATAATATTGAAGAAATTAGATCACCTTGCTATGAACATTTAGCTTAGCGAACCATGGGCTGGGTTTGACAAGCAATTCCAGTTGTGTAATTTTAAATGGAAGTGGATCCTTATCTGTACTTCTTTTAAAATGCTGAATTGTTCTTCAGATGCATTCCATATAGCTGCTAAACATTCAAAGTAGTGGTAAAGTTTGATTTCCTCAGTCTACCAAATGTTTTTACAGGATTTAGGAAAAAGGTGGGGCAGTAGGTAAGGTTCCATTCTAGAACTTGGGGAAAAAGTACCAGTAGCTCTTGCTAACATATCCAGAGCTTTGCCTCTGCAAACAATATTAAGGAACAAAGCAGTTTGTTTGGCTTTTTTGAACTTGACTCTACTGAGTTGAAAAATTATGTGCTTGCAGTAGACTTGCTCTAGACTTGAGCATGGGTGTCCAGCCTTTGGCTTGCCAGGGCTGCATTGAATGAAGAGGAATTGTCTTGAGCCACATATAAAACAGTAGTTAATGTATATAAATCACATAATGTTAAAAATTTACAATCTTGTGGGGCTGCATTACTAGCTGTCTAGGGCCACCTGTGGGTTGACACGCCTGCTCTACAGTCTATATGCAGCAAATGCATACATAATGCAATGTCCCATTTGCATCAGTTTTGCATAGATACTGCAGTAAAAGGAGGTCAATCATATCAATGCTTAAAGTGAGAAATCTCTAAAATTTTTGCAATGGAACTCATATTTTCCTCATCTCTTAACATTTCACTTGTATCCTGACTTCATTGGGTGGCTAAAATGTTATGGCATACTGCATAATTTGGATACTGATATTGGGGAAAACTTTGAGGCCGGGAAAAAACATTTCCCATGTTCTATTCTGAATGAGTTGCTACTTCCTATTTTGCTGGCCTCGAAATATTGAGGAGTTGTACTTCATGGTGGCCGACTTCTTTCTAAACAGTTTTATCACTTTTGTATATATGTATGTAACTTTACAAAATAAGAATTTCATGACTTGCTTTCTCGAGAGGTAGTTCATTGTGAAGTCCTAGTCTCGATGAAAGATCTTTGCTTCAATCATTTTTTCTGAAATGCATGATAACACAGCTACAAAGATGAATTCTGACATGCTGATATAGTTCAAGACCTGTATATTTGTTTCCATACATGGTACTTCAATGTAAAGCCTTACATCATTATAGTTTAATTTATTACTTTGGAATAGGACAGTTATACTAGGTCTTGGGTAAATTGCACTATTGTAACGGAGCAAGCAAAGGATTTTAATTCCAAACGATCTCTTTATACACTGCTGCACCTGGGAATCAGAATGGATTTCATCCTGGTTGTATACCGAACAAAGTAAAATGGTTCAAATGTGTGCTACCTAAGAATTAAAATAATTTAGTTCAGGAAATTTGAATTGAGAAAGAATAATTTTGGATTTGAAGGGGATGTCACAGATAACACATTTTCTGAGGAGTAGTTTTATAATTGAGTTTTTAAAAGTAAACTAGAACCTGACTTATAAAAGACATGAAGAATCATGCTAGTAGATAAAAAATAGTTAAGATAAATGAATATTGAGGGAGATGATTATATGTTTCACCTCACTTGCCTCTTTTCTGCACATCTGCCATAAATGGCACAGCGAGTGTTCAAGGCAGTTTATACGCACTGCAGCATTCTGTAGGCCTGATCGTGCATGACCTCTGCGTGTAGGTGATGATGGACATGTGTTTGCTTTCTGTAAGTTGATAGCATTTAGACGCCAATGGGATCCAGATCACAGAGAAGCAGATTCAATTGCCTTTTGATTTTTCCCCCTTTGCTGAATATAGGAATAGATACAAGAAACTATAATGACCGATACATTTAAAGACAAATTTGTATAGGGAACTATAAAATGAGTGAGGAATTTGCAAGAAAAGAAGACCCAAATATCCAAAATTGCTCTAAGGTTGGATTGTGATGCTAATCAGAAAACAGGCTAGCAAATGACTTCCTCAAGTTGCGGATGGTTTCAGCCTTTGCCTCATCTTCATTTGTGATACCTCGCTGTGAAGAGTCTGAGATGTTGAAGGTGTTTGTCAAGGATTGTGATTTGCTGAAAAAAATAAAAAGGAATAAAAATCTGGTTATTTCCTTTATAAAATTTAGAAGCTTTAGGAAGTAGTGGGTTACTACTGTTAGACAACAATAGTGATGCTTAAAAGTTTATACATCCTTTTGTGAGTTTTCAATATGCATAAATATGACCTAAAATGTGATCTCCACATAAATCCTAAAAACTAAATAGCATTAAACCTATGAATCAAAAACATACTTGTCCATTGATTTATTGAAGACAATGATCTAAAGCTACATTTTTGTGTGGCAAAAGTATGTGAAATGTTGCAATGTCATGCCTTGGGCCAGCTTTGCAAGTGTTTAGACCAGGCGATTTTCATCATCGATGGAACTATGAATTTTGGATTGTATTAGCAAATTGTACAGGAAAATACGATATCTGTCTGAGGTGAAGCTCAGCAAATCAATGAGGTGATTTGCTGAGGTGAAGAGGAGAAGCAAAAACAGAAGTTATATGACCAAAGAATGGCAAAAGCAGAAGAAAATATTTTGAAATGGTCAAGTCGAAGTCCTGGCTTTAATTCTATAGAAATATTGTGGAAGTGGGCAATTCACTTGAAAAAGCCCATCAACATCCTTAAGTTGATTCTGTAATTAGGAATAGGCTAAAATTCCTTCAGGCTAATCTTCAGAAGAGATCAACAGTTATCACAAATAATTAGTTACAGTTATTGCTGACCAAGGTGGGCATACCAATTCCTAAGAGCAAAGGCTCACGTGCTTTTGCCATATATATTTAGCTTTGGATCATTTTCCTCAGTAAAAAATGAAGAATTTCAAT